GTTCAAGCAAGTCTCAAATGGCCATTCTGTAAAAAGTATGGTTTTAAAAAGCAGTGAATTATTTTGAAATTTTCAGACATGCTCCGATTCCTCCCTCTTCCCCCACCTTCAGTCCTCCCACCACTAGGTTGCGCACGCTTGCTGCCCAGCCCCCCATTCCTTCCCTCCTAGCACCCCTTCGGGAGGTAGCCGGATCTGAGGGCATTGTCAGGGTTCATGTCCCCTTCTCTATGCTCGATCTCTCCCAAATCAAAGCCCGCCTGGGCTCCTAAACAACTAACCCCTCTGCCTATGTCAATTTCAATATTTACTCTAGTCTTACAGCCTGACCTACCATGATATCTATATCATTCTCTCTAAGGCTTCACCCATTCCCTACTCACCAGGCCAGAGGACGCATCCCAGGGGTGGATTGGCAGATAGACTACTAACATGCCCAAGGTAAAGAAACACAAATACCTTTTGGTTTTGGTGGACACTTTCTCAGGGTGGGTAGAGGCCTTCCCAACCTCTAATAAGAGGGCTTCAACTGTGGCATCTATTATTGTAACCCACATCATTCCTAGGTTTGGGATGCCTACTTCCTTCCAATCAAATAATGGCCCAGAGTTCACGTCCCAGGTGACCCAAACAGTTATCAAGGCCCTGAATATCCCATGGCAGTTCCACATCCCTTACCACCCCCCCTCATCAGGGAAGGTAGAACACTCCAACCGTACACTAAAGGAGATTCTCACCAAACTCACCTTAGAACTACACCTAGACTGGGTTCAACTCCTTCCAATAGCCCTCTTCCACCTATGGGTGCTCCCACAGAAGCCCACGCAAATATCACCTTTGGAGTTAATGTTCGGTCGCCCAGCTTTGCCTCCGGGGATCACCTCTGCCATGGCCCCCTCCCAGGACACCTTGCCTTTCCCCTGCTCTCCTTCCTTCGAACCCAAATGTGGAGACACCATGATACCTTATCTCCGGACCCTTCACAAACTCATCTCTCTTTCCCTTTGAACACGGGGGACTGGGTCTATTTCTCTCCCCCTTTCCCCGAAAAGAAACCCCTCACCCCAAAATCCTCTGCACTCCTACTGCAACCCGATTAGAAAAGACTCCAGGAAAACTAACATCTTGGATTCATATTTCCAGGCTAAAGCCAGCCCGGCCCCCCGGAGACAACTGGCAGAGCGGTCCCAGCGACCCTTCGCCTTCACCCCCCACCTTCATTTGCACCCCTTCCCCTGGAGACCCCTTGAAACTTCACATCTCTTGGGTTCATGTTCCCTCCCTGGCCCCCAAGGATGTGCCTTGACTCTTTTTATTCGCTGTTCTCACCCTCCTCTCCATGAGTGGGCAGGCTAACGCTGGAGGGTACTTTTGGAGGTTTAAGATACGGGAGACTTACACTGTCTCACAAACCTCTCTCTCACCAGTCTGGTAGGCACCGGAGACTGCTCTCCTAAGGGATGCCAGACCCCTATCTCAGTCCCCTTCAAACCCAGGATTGATAGCGACTTTGGATGCCATTGCCCTTTCTTCTCCCAGACTAAGGACTACTGCAAGAAGGGGGCACCATATACCCAGGAATATGGGGGATGTCCCTATTGGTTCTGTAACATCTACCAGGTACTGAATTTAAGGGGCCCAGACAATGAATTCTCCCTTTATAGGGGACAAAATGGGACCATCATGGCCCACATCCCCAACCCATGGGACAACAGATGGGTTTGGGGTGAAATGATAGCCCTCTATGCTGGGTGTACTGCCTCAAAACCCTCAGCTCACATTATGACTTCCAGGGAGCTCACCCTTCCAATCCCTACTGAAAAGGAGGTGACTTTGGAGGTCCTCCAGTCAGAACAAAGCCCACAACAGGCCCTTCAACAATCCTCCACCCCTACCTGGCTCCAACTGTTCCAGGCTTCACTCCAACTCATGAACCTCACCACATCCATTAGTGTCATGGACTGCTTTCTTTGTGCCTCCCTCCAGTGTCCTCTGCTGGCTGCAGTTCCCATTAACGCTTCATCTTCTATCAAGGCTTCCCCTGCCTTACGGAACTCCTCATGTACTCCTCCCTTGCCATCGGTACCTCTATGGGTACCTGACTCTACACAAGTTCCCCTTCCTACACACACCTGTTTTACCCCGCTCTCGACATCTCGGTCCAACTTTTCTCTCTCCTGTCATATCAATGTCACAGTTATAGCACAACTGGCATCCCCCTTGGGGCTATATTTCTGGTGCCACAACACCCTACACTCCTGCATAACCCAAACTACCCCCGGGCCCTGCATACTGGTAATCACAGTTCCCCAACTTACTCTTTACGGGGAAGCTGAATTCTCCCTCCTATTCAGCACTCGACCAAAGTGCGCTGCCTTCTTGCCCGTTACGGTGGGTATAAGTTTGGCAACCTCCATTGCCACCACAGGCTTCGCAGGGGGAGCTCTTGGTCATAATGTTATTTCAGCAAGGGACGTTGGGGAGTGCTTACAGATCACCCTTGAATCCACCTCAGCCTCACTGGCCTCCCTTCAGCGTCAGCTCACCTCTCTAGCTCAGGTGGCCCTCCAAAATTGTAGGGCCCTGGACCTCTTAACAGCCAAAAAAGGGGGCACCTGTTTCTTCCTCCAGGAGGAATGTTGCTACTATGTCAATGAGTCTGGAGTTGTGGAACAAAATGTCAAAAGGTTAACAGACTTGGCTGAGGACTTCCTAAGGGGACCTAGTAAAAACACCTTAACCGACCTGCTGCGCTCTCCTCTCATCACCTGACTCCTGCCTTTCTTGGGTCCTTTGCTTATGCTCATTACTCTCTGCGCCCTCCTACCCTGCTTACTACAGTTTCTCAGATCTCAGGTGAATAGAATCTCTAACCAAACTTTCAACCACCTTCTCCTTCAGGGATATCACCCCCTCATAGCTCAGACGGAGGACACCCGCGATGAACCCTACCGGGGACACCGAACTATGAGTCACTTCAATCCCATACAAGGAGCCTACTGCAGTTCCTTGATTCCCTATGTGAGGACAGCTGGCTAATACCTGCCATACGAAGCCCAGAGGAGTGGCTGGAGACCATTTACGATCTATGGCTACAGGGAACCTTTATCGAGTTCAGGGAAGAGAAAATTTTAAACTTTGGAGCCTGGGTATATGCCGTTATGAGACTCACTACTCCGATGCCATCTGCCAACTAACCCTCCCTTCCCCTACGCACCTCGAAGAAGCCAGAGTGAACACAACACCCCCCCTTCCTTAACAAACAAAAAAAGGAGGAATGTTGGCAATAATGGCGCCGATAGGTTTCGGTTCTTATTGCACCCTTAAGCTTCTGTTTTCCAGGGTCATGGTCCTGCCTCCCAGGGTCACAGTCCTGCCTCAAGTCTAGCTTGAATCCTCCTTCTGCCCCAACCTCCAATCAGCATGAACCATAAGATCCTAACCAATCAGATCAGGCTGAGTCTCGCTGAGGGGTATTTAAGCCCTTGCCCTTCCTGCCTCTCTCTCTCTAGGCTCTCTTCCTCTCCCACTCGGCAGTAAAGAATCTCTTGGCCAGATCACTCCTCTCCACATGGTCACTTTTGGGGCCCACATTTCCAACACTAGTTACAGAAAATGTAAATGTTGGTTTAAAAACAAACTGCCGCAAAGTTTGGTCTAGAACTTTTTGGATGAAATTCACAACTCCTTTTCTTTCTCTTACCTAGTTTAACAATGATTATCTAACCATTCTTTTCTTTATGAACTTTCCTATTAAAAGATCTGTTCCTTTGCAGCAAGATTATAGTAAACTTTAACATGTGATTATAACTGAACTATGTGACAAGCTTTCGCTAAAAATTTCAATCAATAAAGTTAATTAAAGCAGCTGCATATAACTGAGTGGAAAATGACTATTTGGTGTTAAACGCAAGATATGGTTTATATTGTCATAAAATACAACAGCAGTACAATACTCCCAAATGAAAAACTAACATCTTATTTGACTTAAAAAAAAACCAGCTTATGCATTCTGGTCAAGCGAATACTTTTATTTAAAAAAGTTTTTAAATAGTTGTAATCCAAATGTAAATTTTAAAAAACAAAACCACCCTCTCACCACATCTTAAAATACCTTATAATATCATTTTCCCTACCTTTTCAAAAATTACCATTTTTTTCTAGATTACGAATGTTCAAAAATAGGAAAATTTGTACATGTCCAAATTAAAAACTAAAACATCACTTTACTTCTGATGACTTTGGATGACCCAACTGATTGATTTACTAACATTCTTCAAAACTCTACTAGTCAAAGGCTTGATGGTTTGCTTTTAAATGGAAAATTCATAAAGAGCCTCGCCAAAGGATCCAAAAAAATCAAACACCGATTCTTGCTCAAAATATTAAAAATACTTTCTTCTATCTCTCAGTCCAATAAATTGGAGCGAATGGATCTTCTTTTTTAAATCATACTTAGATTTTAAAATACATTCTAGCAGGGCGCTGGTGTCCCATGCCTGTACTCCTAGCTACTCAAGGAGGCACAGATCAGGAGGATCTGGGTTCAAAGCCAGCCCAGGCAAATAGTTCGTGAGGCCCTATCTCAAAAACACCCAACACAAAAAGGCAGTGAGGGCGGTGTGGTCCAAGTGGCAGAGAGCATGCCTAGCAAGCAGAAGACCTGAGTTAAACCCCAGTACCGCCTCCCCAAGAAAGGGGAAAAAATACTTTGTGAACTGTCCTGTAACTTTAAGTTGTGGCCTTTGTTTATAACACCTGTGGATTTTCACTTTAAACCACAGAGAGGCTTAACTACAATGAAAACATACTTTCAGGTAAACCCTTGAGTTGAACCCATTTTGTTGATTGGGGTTAATTTTCTGATACCACTGCAAAAACCTTCAACAGAATACCTCTAAAATTTAAGCCTTAGAGGGGTGGGAAGGTGCATCAGTCAGTGCTGCTGCCAGTTGGCGGTTAATGAGCATGAATTCTAATTCCTTCATTTGTTTGTTTACCAGAGTAGCCAAGAGCGTGGACGGCTCCTTCTGCTCGCTATCCCCCAGGCAGTCTGTCACCTAGAAATTCCCAGGGAAACAGGACCTTCCAGCAGGCTGCCAGCGTTGCCACCTATCGCACCAACCGAGTACTAGCTGTAGCCTGAGACCTGGGCAATCCGACGAGTATAGATGCTCCCCAGGATAGCCGGCCACATTTCACAATGGCCCTCAAAGCCTAGGCCGTCGAGGGCCGGACTCCCCGCGACTCACGCACAAGCTTCCCAGCTCGCAGCTACACCGAGCAACCGCGCAGTAAACTCCACACGGCGCTTGCTGGAGGCTCAACCCGCACATTCGACAGGCTCGGGAATCCCGGAGGACGCTGACTGCAAAGGACGCGCTAGAGGGCGCCCCTGAACGCGGCCTCGCCCCAACAGCCTAGGCGTGGGATAAAGCTTACCTAACTCCACGCCTTCTCCTCACGTCGTCGTGGTCCCGCCCTTCCCCAGCGCAGAGACTCACAGGACACGTAGTTAAGTACGCCACGTCCCGGCCCCTCCCTGCCCTACTGACTCGGGCCTGACTTCCGGTTTCCTCGCTGGGCCCTGGCCTCCAGCGTTTTTCCAGAGGTGAGGTGCTTGCCCACCCTTCCAGCTCCGCCGCCCGACTCCGCCCCCCTCCGCGGCGCGCACCGCGCAGCTTGTGAGGGAGCGCGCGCCGCTGGGCGTGGATCTCGCGCGCGTGCTGTTGGGTAAAAGGCCTTCCCCGCGGCCGCACGGCTCCTCTCCTTCGGCTTCTGCAGCCTCCGGTAACCTCCAGGGCCCCTGCCTCTGGGCAGGGTTGTGCCACGGACGCCACGGCCACCGCAATGGGAGTCCCTCTGCCGCGGTGTCCCTGGTCCGGCCACCTTCGCGGGGGAAGCTACGGCGTCTTCGAGGAAACCGGAAGCCCGCGGTGACCCCTTGCGACCCGGTTCATTTTCAGTCGGGTTCCAAACATTGGGGAACTGAAACTCGGTGGCCTCGGGGGCGGCTTTACATAGCCTGGGTTCTGGGTGAGTGGATCGCTTGGGCCGGGTGGGGAGCTGGGGGTGCAGGCAATGCCGTGGCGGTCTCTCTGCTGTCGCCAGCCTGAGAGCCGTTTTTCCCTGGAGGTCTCCGCCCACCCCAGGGCAGCCCTTGCTCTGCCATCCCCCCACCCCACGGTTACTGGCCCTACCTCGTCCTTCCCTTCACTTCTCCCATATTGCTCCTTTCTGTGCGCCGCTTTCCTGGGCGCCTTTAGCCTTTTTTTTCACTGAGGCGACATTTAGATGGGGAAGGGAAGAGGGACGTGTGAAGGGCGATGCTGCCCGCGGCGGCCTCGTAGTGCACTTTGACCAGGGCTAAGAGTAGTCATCGTTTCTTCAGCGCAACCGCGAATTCCACTCCCATTTGGGGTCATTCTTTGCCAGAGCGGCTAACACCCTCGACCCTTACTCACAAGGAACTCGAGTACTTAAAAGTGAGATGATATACCCAAGAAACTGTACTAAAATCAAAGCATAAGTTGCTCTGGACATTTACCCTACGGTGATCATGACGTACCAGGGTGGAAATTGACCCTTGCTCCTGAAACATAGAAGATACTTTTTGTTATTGGAATTTTAAGTGGAATTGAGCAAAATATGAAGGCTTTTTTCAATTCCAATTCTTTAAAAAAGCTCAGTCTCTTGTGATCACTCCATCATTTATAAATTGGAAATGAATGGTGGATCATTCACAGGATGGTTACAAAATGTTGTTTGTAAATGGTAAGTTTTATGCAAATAAAAAGTTTTTAGTAGTAAAGAGACACAAAGTGTAATGGGAAATGGCAGTGGATTAGATAAGAGTACCAGGAACTAAGCGCCGAATTTTCCATTTGTTCACTTAACACTGGGTACGAGGCTAAACTTTTACTCTGTCTCTAAAATAAGGATAATGCAAAGCTCCAAAACATAGCAGGTGTAATGATCTCGAAAAATGGCAGGATAATCCTATCTAGTTCTGGAAGACCAGTCTAGTTTCAAAAGATATTTCTGTGTTTTCTAGTATATGAAATCTCAGTATATATAACAAATGAAGAACTGAGGTTCATTTCAGTGTTGATTCTAGTGAAGTCTGAAATTTGTGATCATTTAAAATAATTCTGATTAATAATGCTTGAACCTGTTTTTCCTCTTACTGTCTCTCAGCTAGCCTCAGGTATTACTGTTATCTTTTCAACCCACCTTATGTAACAAATTGTGCTTCCTCCATTATCATTTCTGAATTTCACTGTTCTCAACAATTGTCAACGTTTTTTACCTCAATGCTTTCTGTTTCTCTTTTAATTTTTAGTGTAGTAAACCTCTAAGAAGAAACAAAATTCAGTTGTCAAATATATAAAATGTTTCCATGACTACAGTTACATTTGCACTATATGAATATACTATATCTAACTCTTCAATGCTATTGCGATGAAGTGAATATGAAATTACTGCTTCTGCTATTAAAATCTTCATACAAAAGTTAGATGGTGTTTACCAGTTGATAATATAGAACTCACCTTGCCTACAAATGTTTAAGGATACTATTTATAATTGGAATTCTCTAAATCATGTAGTAGCCCCTTAGCTGTGTTGTACCTAGATGAGTGATTTTTAAATTTTATGGGACTTAAAAATTATTTCGGGTGCTTATTGAAAATGCAGTTTGATACTCTGATTTACATAGATCTGCAATGGAGCTACGTAATCAGTATTTTTTAATAGAACTCCAGGTAATTCTTTTTGAGATATGGAAGGTCTCGCTAATTTTTCTAGGATGACATTGAACTTGGAATAATCCTCCTGCCTGTGCCTCCTCAGTAGCTGGAATTACAGGCTTGTGCCACTACACCTGGTGGGACTACAAGTAATTCAAAAGCAGTGATCCATTTTTTGCTTTGTCAAACACTGCCTGTGTTTGGCAAGTTTCTGTGGAATATATTTTCATGATTAAGAGAAATCCACACAAGCTTGTCTTTGGACAGTGTTTTGACATTTGTTAAATTTAGAAAGTGAATGTAATTAATTCCTGCTGGACTATTTAAAATATTGTTAGTCTTTTGCTAATTCTGGTACTTTTTCTTTTGTGGTCCTGGGGATTGAAACCCAGGGCCTTACATGTGCTAGGAATGAGCTAGTGACAGCATGGTAATTCTTATTTTTGATGACATTATTCTACTTGGGGCAGTCATGTTTTAAAGATTAATGGAAACAGATTTGTTACTTTAAGAAAATTTAAATTAGAGCAAATCAGGTTAGATATTTTCTTCAAATGTTAAATGTAACTAACGTGATCTAGTTTGTTAAGTATATTAATAGCCTTATACCTTTACCCTGTATCCAGAAAAATCAGACTTCTTGGGTCAGCTGATTAGGATATCCATGTGGAGACCTTTTATGACAACAAAGTTATATAAAACTGAACCTTTGTTATGAGATGGACTGCTATAGTTCCCTTCTTTGTAGAAATGAGATTCAGGAAGGATGAAAGAGGTTTCCATAATTATAAAACCAAAAGCTATATATACCATAGCCTGTTTTGTTACTTTGCTAGCAGATTTCAGTATAGTAATAAATGTAATGGGGTAGCAGCCTTATGTTAAACATAACAGTTAACATTTTTAATGAATGTATATATGTTCTTTATACTTTAGTTATGTCTACATCTATGTATTCAAAAAATTCTACAGAATAAGGGCCAAAGTTTATAGCTTCTCTTCATAAAGGACCCTTTCAGTTGCCTCCATTCTGTCTTTCTAATCTCATCTCCTGCCATTACCATGTTCAGCCCTTGTTCCAAATTCTTTCTTGTCTTTGAACTTGTTTCCCAGTTGAAAGTTAGCAAACTATAAATATTTAAGTACCGTCTTTGCTTGAGTACAAACTTAAATTGATCTTTTGTGGAATCTTCTTTGAAAACCACTCCTCTTCTCTATCCCCCAATCCTCATAGCATTTCATGTTATTTCTAATATATTACTTACCTTCATGTATTATGATTGTTTTCTGCACAATTGTCTCCCACACTTACTATTTTCTTACTTAGAAAATGATTATTTTGGTGCTGAGTATAGTGGTGCATGTTATAATCCCAGCTGCTCAGGAGATAGAAACAGGTGGTTCAAGGCCAGCCCCAGCAAAAGTTAGGCCTTATTTCAGAAACAAACTAGGCATGATTATGCATGCCTGAAATCCCAGTCCCAGTAGTGCAAAACAAACAAAAAAGATTATTTCATGATAAAAGTGAATGAAAAGAAAAAAATCATACAAATGAGGTAGTAGTTAGAACTTTATAGCAAAAGTACAAAAGCTCAGATCTTTAAATGCACAAACTGTGTACCATCTGTTTTGACTGTGTACAGTATTTTATTTTTATTTCTTGTTTTCTGCTGTGTTTAGAAAAAACTCAAATCCTGTCAATTTAGTTGATCACTAAGTTAATTAAATCAGATGACTAATATGGGAACTATCTTACCGCTCCTTAAACTAGGCGGCATCATGCCATTTAAGTCACCATCTACTCTTATTCTGATTTAAGATATTTTATATATGTTGATGAGTTATGTGGAGATACGTATGTGTACTTTGGAGTTTGCAGAATTGTAATAACTGTATCTTTCTTTTGGAAAGAAAATGAGAACAATGTGATTGAAATAATTACTGTTTTGGAACAGAGTTGAATCCAGAGAGGGCAAAGTAAACCCCATTAGAGGAAGAAATCTTGAACACTTTATTATTAGGAGAAAGAGCAGTTTGCTTCAGAAACAGAATTTTATTATGGTACCAAGAATCTGCCACTTCTTTTGGAGTACTGTATATAGTTCATTCCTGTTCTTGGACTTCATAAATTAGGAAATATTCTGACTTTTGAGTAGGAATTGTCTTAATTATAAACTTAAATTGGTGTTGGTGAAGATTGACTGGATAAGGCTTTATTGTTCAAGACTTGTAGTATACATACTTATTTTTGCTACTTTTCCTGTAGTCCTACATAGACACAAATTGTTTAGACATTCCAAACACTAGCTTTAGTTGAGAGTGATTGGAAATTTTTAGTGGTTAAACTGGAAAAGCAAAAATGCAGTGATAGTAAACCAGACTCACACAAACAAAACATTTTGTTAAATATTCCTGTTAGCTGAAATAAAACAGAAAAACATTAGTTGATACTTAGAGATGAAATTTTGGAGGAAAGCAGGCATAGTGAAACATGGACTAAACTGTGTCCTTACATCTCAACTCTTCAGTTACTATTTTACTTTGGAAAAATTACTTAAATTCCTTTTACCTCAATTTCTTCCCCTATAGTGCTCTTAAAGAGTAATAACTAGTAATTAATTTTTTTCCAGCAAGGAATAGTAAAACAACTTTTCAGGAATCATTAATTACCAATCTAAGATATATGAAATTCTGTTGACAGCCTTTATTTACAATAATTTATTTAGAATTTTTTGGGGGGCGGGTTACTGGGGTTTGAACTCACACTTGCAAGTAAGGTGCTCTGTTGCTTTGCTATACCTCCAGCTTTATTTAGGGTTTTATTTTAAACTAGAAAATATTTAAAGGTAATTTTTAGGTTCTCTTCTATGACCTGTAGTCCTTCTTACCCTGTTTTCCCCATGAAGTCTTAAAAAACGTTTCAGCTACACTTTTTCCTTCCATAACATTTTTCAGGAACTGTCATATCGGAAAATAATGCTGAACTTAATAGCAAAGGTAGATGAACAGAGCAAGTATACTTTTTTATTAACTAAAGAAAGTAACTCATCTCTTCTTTTAGGTTTTAGAGTCACGGTTTGATTTGAATTCTACTCTGTCCACTATTTACTAATCAATACTTACTACTTTCTGGGTTCTTATGAGTTGGGGACATAATGATGAACATATACTCTACTTTCACAGAGCTTAGGTTTAACTAGCTTTACTTGGACAAATTATTTTACCTTTGTATGGCTTGCCTATAAAATATAGGTGGTCACAGGATTATTTATATGATTAAATATGGTAATAAAAGAATATAGCATTCTACACTGGCGTATAGTGGATACTTAAATGTTAATTTGTCTTGTACTATAAATACTACAAACATAAGCAATTAGAAGTAAGGAAAGATTATATAGAGTATGCATTAAAACCTCTAATAATATGTCATAATGAATTGTATTCAAACAATTTTTGAAAATTTATGATTTGGGAAGCTATAAAACTTGCTCCTTTTAGATCTAAGAATGCAAATGTTGATACGAACGAAATATATGGGCATTAAGTGTCCTTTTAGGGAAAATGGTTTTTCATGGGATTTTTGTTTTGTTTTTTGCAGTACTAGTGATCAAACCCAGGGCTTCACAGATGCTTGGCAAGTTCTGTATACTTCAGCACTATTTCACAAATTTTTATAGAACTTTAATAATAATAGGTTGTTTTTTAAATGCTTTGTAGTTATCAGTCATTTAATGTTCCTTAAGACTCAATGAGGTAATATTGTTTCTTTAACTTTCTTCTTTTTTTCTTTTTTTTTGAGGGGAGTATTACTGGGGTTTGAACTCAGGGCTTTATACTCGTTAGCCAGGCACTTTTACTGCTCAAGCCACTTTGCTAGCCCCTGAACTTTCTAAATAAGTAAAATGAGGCAGAGATTTTAAACAATTTGTCCAAAGTCACACAGACACTAAATGGGAGAACTTGCATGAGAATCTAGATAGCTGTGCTCCTAACTATGCTATACTGCCTCAAAAGGAAAATAGGAATTTTTAAACATTGTTCTAATATTCACATTATTCTGAATATATCTTTTCCCTGCTCATTATTCAATAAGACATTTACATTACATATTTTCTTTTAAACAGCTGTCATGGATGCACTAGTAGAAGATGATATCTGCATTCTGAATCATGAAAAAGCCCATAGAAGAGAGACAATGACTCCAGTCTCAATATATTCAGGAGATGAATCTGTTGCATCACATTTTGCCCTTGTCACTGCATATGAAGACATCAAAAAACGACTTAAGGACTCAGAGAAAGAGAATGCTTTCTTAAAGAAAAGAATAAGGGTTTTGGAAGAAAAGGTATTTTTTTTCTACTTTAATTATGTTTTATGACATAAAGAATATATTTTCTATCCTATCTTCCATGGTTGTACTAAATTTCCAAGGATAACTCAAAATTACAGATCTCTAAACTCTGAGAAATAAAGTTATCATGTTATACTTTCACATATTATGTGCTTAACAGATATCTGTAGAATATGATTTAACAACTTGGAGAAGTTATTTTCCAAATATTTTCTTCCCTTCTTTTCTCACAGTGCCTTTCCTTCATAGCTATATGTATCTTATTTGGTATTTTCAAATGTGTGCCCCAAAAATGACATAATAGTGAAGGAAATTAAATGTCAAACAAAGGAAGAAGCTTCCGGAATATTGTTTTAAGATGTTTAGTAAGGTCTTCAGAATTGAAATCTTTAATTCTATGTTCTTATTCTTTCAAACACGTAATAGGAATAATGCTTTTAACTGGTAATGTCATTCATTGCTTTCTCATCTAGAATGTTGATATTTCTAAATGTTATATATAAGCAATGTAGCTGATTCAGTCTAAATCATCGTATTTACTTGGTTTCATTTATTGAGAAATCTTCCTTGATTATCCATTTACGTGTGTGGGGGGGTACTGGAGTTTGAACTCAGGACCTTGTGCTTGCTAGACAGGCATTCTACCACTTGAGACATGACTCCAACCCTTTTTGCTTTATTTTTTGAATAGGTCTCAATTTTATGCCTAGACTGGCCTAGACCATGATCCTGTTTACGCTTCTCATGCAGCTGGGACAATAGGCCCAGTTTTTATTGATTGAGATGAGTAACACTACCTTTTTGCCTGGGCTGGCCTCAAACTGCCATCCTTCTGATCTCTACCTCCACTTGGGATTGTAGACTCAAGCCACTGAGCTCAGCTGATTACTCATTTACTTTTGAGTTTCAGAGTTATAACTTACCTTATATTTCTTAAGATCAGGTTTACATTCATATCTTAGAAATGGCAGCTTCCACAGAGGATAAAGGAAATGGGTTTTTAGCATATAAAGAAATGAATTATCCTGTATTCAAACTCTTGAAGATGGAGCCTAGTAGAATTCCATTCAAGTAGGGTAGGAATAAAACGAAGGGAGTTAGTTTTAAAAATGATCCTAATTTCTTTGCATCCATATGAATTTACTTTATTACTGATTAAGGCAAATTTGTAGTATATGGGATAAAGTGAGAGCAGGCAACTTTTAAGATATAGTTGAAAAATGGGATTTGATGTAGAGTTAACATTGGAAATCTGTACTTTGTGAACAGCAATCCTTTTAATTACCATTGTGGAATAATACATGATTTAATGAACTAACTTACACGTTCCATAAAAGTTAAGTCTGACTTGATACTTTTTTTAATGATGGAAATTAGATACTATAGACTTGGAAAATACCTAAGCATCTCAAAAGAATGGTATACTTTAGTATAGTATAATTAGTTACAAAATACTGATTAAAGAAAAGCATAACAGGCATTAAAAAGTATTCTGTACTTTCTTTATCAGGAAAGATCAATTGTATGGAAATGGCCTTTGTTATAGGCCAGGATTTATTTCTACATTATAGTGATTAAAGGAAGATGTGGAACTATCAGAAGGCTGACTTTTTTCCTGTGGAATATCCTGTTAAGCTTTTTTTTTTTCTCTTTATGTATTTATTTATCCCTAATTTTGTATCATTAGCTTGTTGGAGCTCAATTAGATGAAGAAACAAGTTCTGTGGGACGAGAACAAGTAAATAAGGCTTATCATGCATATCGAGAAGTTTGCATTGATAGAGATAATTTGAAGAGCAAATTGGATAAAATGGTAAGTTGATTTGAAAAGAATGGTTCCTAAATATTGCAATTGAGTTTTCACTTTCAAGAGGTTTAAAGTAAGAGATTAAATATTTGCATTTATTAATTAAGCTTTTAAAAGATTTATGTTCAAGGAAAAATGGAACTTTTTAATAATTATGTTTGCAACTTCTTTATGAAAATAAATACTTAGCATGTAACCATGTTTTGGATTTAAATATATTTAACATCACCAATTCTTTTTGAAAAATCATGACATAGTAAAATTAATCACTGTTTTTTAAAAAGCCAGTGAATAATAATGCCCTAGATTAGAAAAAGAAAAAAGATTTGTAAGAAATGGAGTTCATTTTTCCATCTTGCTTTTAAAGACTAGAATGAGTTTTTTAAAATATATACCTGAAAAGTAAGATACAATACCAGGCTATAAATTTTATTGAATATAATTTGTTATTTTCCCTTCTAAACTAGAATAAAGACAACTCTGAATCTTTGAAAGTATTGAATGAACAGCTACAATCTAAAGAAGTAGAACTCCTCCAGCTAAGAACAGAGGTAGAAACTCAGCAGGGTATGCCACTTACTTGTTATATTCTTACAGAATTAAGATACTTTTCTATTTGTGTATTATATCCAGTATCAGTTTACTATATCTGTGTGCTAAAGCCTTATTTTTTTGTTTTGGGCTTACATTAATTTTTCTGTTCTGTTTTCACATAATATCAACAACTCCTTTTAGCTTTTCCTTAGTTACAAATGGCACTCTTTCTAGAGAAAATGATAGGTTTTTATTCAGGGCTAGTTTATGATGAAGTAAAGGAGGAAGAGAATGAATTTTCATCCTCATCAAAACTTCCACTCTACTGGTATATCCTGGCTCATTCTTACTGAACTTCTTGCCCATAGTTAGACACACTGTCATGGAGTATTTTCAGTTAATTTTTTTCGTCTTTCTTTCTAAAGGTTATTAAAAGATAAAGATGAGATGTTTGGGTAGAAAGTTAGGTCTGGGGTTATAGATAATATTCTGTTCCCATGAACATTCTTAAGAGATAAGCCAAAGAATGGGCCTCTGAGAGATACTTTAATAGAAAATTTCACGTAGATTTCTTATAACTGGTTGGGGCTTTTTCTAGGTAGAGAAGCTAAAGTACTAAGTACAAAGTCATCTTTGGCCTATGTTAAAAAGATTATTAGCTTATCTACAATTTTAGCATATGCTTGGTAAAGGTAGTATCTTTAAAATTCCAGTCTGACAAATTTATACTTAAATAGAAAATCAGAGATGGAATAATTAGTACATTTCTAAAACAGGATTGCTCGATTTCTTATTCTAATTAACATAGATCTTAGGAAGTACTTACTTTTTTAACTATTAATGACTACGCATGTTTTATATTAGTCTTCCTGTTATCTACATTATGGTAGTGTAATCTTTATAGAAATTGCAGTCAGTATAAAAGGCAGAGATGGTAATTTTGATGTCCATCCTTTTGTAGTGATGAGGAATTTAAATCCACTTGCATCAAACTGGGAAGTGGAAAAGTTGAGCTGTGATCTGAAGATCCATGGATTGGAACAAGAGTTGGAACTGATGAGGAAAGAATGCAACAATCTCAAAATAGAGCTGCAAAAAGCTAAACAAATGGTACTATGAAATTATTAAATTGAGAAATACAGTATTTTTTCATATATAGGTTTTATTACTATGTATTAAATATTTATCATTAATTTTAACTACTTAGAAAAGGAATATTCCCACTCTGAAAAAATCATGCTTATCTTCCTCTTTAATGATTTCTGATAAAATTCAATGACTTTATACTTTCAGCTTTCCTGACCTCAAACTCATATAATTCTGTTGTTTTTTTTTTAAGACTTATTTTTAAAATGCTTATTAGGTTATTTATTGTAACTATTCTTTCTTTTTTTTTTTTTCATTTTATTATTCATATGTGCATACAAGGCTTGGGTCATTTCTCCCCCCTGCCCCCATCCCCTCCCTTACCACCCACTCCGCCCCCTCCCTCTCCCCCCCACCCCCTCAATACCCAGCAGAAACTATTTTGCCCTTATTTCTAATTTTGTTGTAGAGAGAGTATAAGCTATAATAGGAAGGAACAAGGGTTTTTGCTGGTTGAGATAAGGATAGCTATACAGGGCATTGATTCACATTGATTTCCTGTGCGTGTGTGTTACCTTCTAGGTTAATTCTTTTTGATCTAACCTTTTCTCTAGTTCCTGGTCCCCTTTTCCTGTTGGCCTCAGTTGCTTTTAAGGTATCTGCTTTAGTTTCTCTGTGTTAAGGGCAACAAATGCTAGCTAGTTTTTTAGGTGTCTTACCTATCCTCACCCCTCCCCTGTGTGCTCTCGCTTTTATCATGTGCTGAAAGTCCAGTCCCATTGTAACTATTCTTTCAAACTCTTTTCCTTTTTTTAAATTTTGGTCTGTAAAGTTTAAAGAGAACTCAAGTTTTAAGTTTCCCATTTTATTTACTTAATTTGATTAATTTAGATATCAGAAGAGACAACTTGATTTTTAGAATTCTTTAAAAAAACCAACAACAAAAAACTTTACAGTGCCTGCTTCTTTTCAGCGATGGATACTTTTAGGGGCAACTTTTAACTATCAGCAAATAGCTGAGAATTCAAGAATTAGGAAAAACCAAAAACCTACCAAGCTGTTCTGTGATTAGCCTAATGTTATTCACTAAAACTAAAATAGAAGCTGCCTCTAAGTTCCTCACCAGGAGTCTCTTCATTAATACTTTACATTGGGTTCTAAATAAGCATGGACATATGTTTATAGATGTCATGACAGATAGTGCTAAAAATAAAGTGATATAGAAGCAGAGGGGTGTGTGAGAACACTGCATTAAATGAAAGATTTAAAATAGTTGTTAAAAGAAATGGAAAATCTTAGTAGTCTGATACAAATACCATTTTATGCATTCAGGTATTCCAAGTAGGTATAACCAGTTAAACTCAACCATCTTGCCCACCAGAGTATTCCAACCTATTCCATATTGTCTGGGATGCTACCATCTAAAAGAGGAACTACTTCCCCCTTGTCTGGCAACTAGGACTCTGTGCCTGAATTCCGAGTGTCTATAGATGGAGCTTATATTTCTCTTTTCCATAATGTAGTCACTGAATAAGAATAAGCCACATGTAAGAACCAAATGAATTCATGGGCAATGAGAACTTGCTTTGGAGCCCCTGGATCTGATAAAGGGGAAACACTATGAAAATTACTGTCAACTTGTATTAGAGCCAAAATATGTGTTTTTCTTGACATCAGTAATTGATTTTCCTAGTTTTGAACTTGTGGCCAGTCAGCATCCTATTGCATGAGCCCAGTTGCTATAGCCACTGATAGACCTCTTTTAAAAATACGTGCTTGCAAGAGTTACACCTTGATGCTCTGGATAATTGTCAGTATATACATTCTACTTAAAACAATTTAATAGCTTTTATATATAATGGATATTTCACTGTAGAGTAGGAAGCAATACCATGGAATTGTGGGAGTCTGGTCCTAATTGTGTTGCTTATTAACATTTGGAGAATCATTTAAGATTTTAAGGAACTTATTTTCTACAGACACTAAGTACCTCTTTTTTCATAAAGTCAAATTACTGTATGTAAAGCAGCATGGTGCCCCGACGTATAGTATAGTAAAATCGTCAAATTAAATAAAAACCTTAGAGAATACAGAAAAGCAGCACTTACAGGTATCTGTGTGTTAGAATTGAGGGGTAAAGTTTTTTCTTTTTTAATTTTTTTTTTATTGTTGAGGGGTAAAGTTTTGGTTCTAGGTGGTGCTAGGGAATAAATTTGCTTTAAGCTTAAATCTATCATAAGCATCCTGATCATTGGAAGCAAACTTTTAGAAGTAGAAGAAACTTTGAAAATCATTTTTCTTTAATTGATGATGAATTAAATCTAGGTGAAATAAAGGAGGAATATTGAAAAGAAGAAAAATTTAAAACATTGTCCTTATTTTCATAGCCATTTAGTAGCGGTAGTGGGAGACTGTGATATATAAAATGCCCATATCTAATATAAAGAAATGAACCAAGAAAAAAATTGGAAAAACAATTTATCAAGATTTCCAGGTTGAAATTTTGTTGTGTACTTTTAAATCTTGTTTTAGAGGTATTACTGCTTAGAATGCTCTTGGATATGGGATCAAGAGCAAGCTAAAGAAACAAATGTATGTCCCTATTAGTAGACTTGCTTTGTAGTTAATATAACCTTACTTACAAATATTTTTTAGATTTTTTTTTCTATGAAACATACTTAATAATACCTTCTGAAGTGTGTAATGGCATCCTACATGGACATACTAGTATTTTGGTTTTGTTTTTGAATATTAGTGAACCTAATAGATTAATGTTTTGTGTTGATGAGGTCGGGGTTTTAGAGGCAGTTTTACTAGGGGCCCTGTAGAGATTATGTATCCTACAACATTGCAGCCATTTACATTCAAAACAGTTAATCCTGTAAGAAATACAACTCTAGAGCCAAAGAAAAGACTAGATCAGTATGATGGAGTTAGTATAGAAGATGCCTAATCCATAGCACATGTACAGATTTACAGTGTGCTATTGCAGTATATTAAAGATTCTGAGAAGTAGTATAAAGAACCCATGTAACTTGAACATTGTTTCCAAAGAGTCTGTTCTTACGGGCCTTTGTTTGTGAAACACCTGTATTGCATTGCACAAATTAGAAAATATCACTACCTTCAGAACATCAAAAACTTCGTTACTGTTCAGGATCAGTCTTTGAATTCTTTTGTGCTTATTGCTGATTTTAATTAGATTTTCTAAATTGTTAGACAGTAGCCAGAAAAATACTTACTGTCAGATTTTTAAAATATGTATTTTTGGCTTTAAAAATGAGGAACGTTTCTAGTGAACATACATGCTTCTAATGAACATATATGCTTAAATATATACTAATGAAAATAATTTTTTAAATTAGTGATACAGAGAATCAGTGATCTGAGAGTAATTTCATTTTTTTTCATTTACTTTGCAGAATAGTAAAGAACAATATCCAAGGATATCTTTGTCAGTGGACAAACCTCCCTTGACTCATGGGCCAGTTCTGTTTCTCCTTTCCAGACGGCTCTCTAATATGCAGTTTAATTGTTAGTCAGTGTACTCATGAAGTCTTTGCAATTTTTGATGTTCCACTTTAAAACATACAATTTACATTATGTAAGTCAGAAATAGTAAAATTAAATTTTATTCTCTCATCATACACTGGCTTCTTCTGTAGAAGAGTTAGCACCTGTAATAGTCATTTTTATGACAGACTCTGAATGCACTGCAAACAAGTAGAGACTTACCTTATGTATTAATAAACTCATTAAAAAGTATCTTTTAAAGGTTCTTTCTGTTATACCTACAACCTAAACTACTAAAACTTACAAATATTTAGATATGTCATGAAATCCTTGCCACAACTCATATAAAGAAATGAACCAAGAAAAGGAAGAGTTGAAATAACAATTAGGTGTTCCAACTGAAATCTTGATGTTACAGAAGGTATCATTTTGCATCTATGGACAGGAGGAAATTTGTGGGTTTTTTTTTTTTTTTTAGAAACTGTAACATTTTCAGTTTTTAATGTTTTTGTAATTTAGTGCAGAAACATGATATACCAAAGAACTTTGATTTTTCTCACAGAATTCATTCGGATGTACCTTACGTAAACAATAATGTGATGAATGCTTCTCTTTGAATATAAAGTTCAGATTGATAATTCCTTTATACCTTCTTGCCAGTTTACAAGTCCTTTTACATGAGAGCGACTGTTTTTAATGAAAACATTAAGCTCTAATTTTAAGTGATTTAGAAATAATTGGGATAGCATGGCAGTATCTCATTAAAATTGAGTATAAAATCTAGTTTGATGCTACATAATTATAGATGTGTTCTGTAAAAGTTGAAACATATCTGTGGTATTGAATAACTTAGATAAAAAGTATAACAATTATAACTTTTTACTTTTATTTTTAAAACAAATGACAGGATCCATCTCAGGAAGACAATCTGAAGAACAGAGATCTCCAAAGACTGAGCATTTCAAGGTATAAACATTCTTCAATATTAAAATAGTATGTTTTCCTCCTTAGGTCACTTTGTAGGTTATCTGTAGGTTATCTAGATTTTTGTTAGGATTTAACCTTACATTTTTATTTGAATGTTGACTGTAACTTGTGATCACAATATGTTAACAAAAAATGTTTCTTTATACCAGGTTTGAATATAAGTACTAGAAAGGTACACATTGTGATCTCTTAAAATTTTTGGACATTAAGTAATAATTTTCTCTGTGGAAGTATTCTATAATAAACCCTGATTTTATATATGAGGAATTATGCATTTCCACATACAGTAATATTTCTTTCTCTTAAGGCCAAACCTTTTGCGACCTTAAATCTTTGGGTTAGCATATATTCTTAGGTTGTTTTTTTTTTTTCCCCCAGTACTGGGGTTTAAACTCGGGACCTTGCACTTGCTAGGCAGGCCTTCTATCACTTGACCCTGGGCTGTCCCCAGCCCAAGATAGCATGAATTTTAAGAGAACTATTCCTTCTTAAGTCACTATCAGAGTTATGTACTTCAACTTTTTTTTTTTCCAGTGCATACCACTTTTCCTTAGTAACTTAGTTCTTTGTTTTAAATTAACTTAATTTTATTTTTACTATGTTAGCATGTAGTATCCTCTCTCTGTGGATACATTCCAACTGTTGAAAAATACTGATTTGACTTTGATCATTTGGCTTCCAAAGTTTACTGACCTAAGTAAAATGTGAATTATCTTCTACGTATTTCTATCAAAAGCCTGCTTGGGAGAAATGGATTAATTAGGAAAGTAGCTTGAGGAAATGATATGCAGCCACTCTTCCAGATCAAGGTTAAGCAAACTTCTCCTATAGTAATAGCAGTAGATAGTCTGTGTTGCAACTACTCAACTCTGCTGTTTGATGACTGGCATTTTGATTATGCCTTCAAATTTTAATTTTATCTACACTTACAACCAGGAAGTTTTTCCTTTTTTTTTTTTTTTTTTAATGTATCTAGTACAGTACTGTGCAAACTTTTTCTTAAAGGTAATCCTTGTTAAAGTTACCTTTTCTTCAACCTAGGTTTCACTTACTAATTTGTTGTATTTGTCTTTTTTATAAGTTACTTCATTTTTGGAAAGGTGGAAATGAATACATTATAATCAGTTGAATGTATAGTATTTAACGAAACTGGGGTTTTACAGTTTTATTCTATATAATCAGGACATGTAACCTTTTCTTCAGATGCAGACAAATGGGTTCTATAACATTTAAGTCAGAAGTGGGAAATTTTATACTGAGGCTGAGAAGACTGTGTTAGCAGTCAACATGTTATAGGTAGTGGCTAAGTGGATTATGACCTCAGTGACAATAAGAAAAATGCTCCCCTGAAAGGGCAGTTATTAGACTGGACAGGTGAAAGATGGTTTTAAAAACAACCTAGTACACAGGAATAGACTCCTACCTGTTGAAAATGAGGTCACCGACTTTGCCAAGTTGGTGTAAGAATATGGGTGAAATGCCTAGTATGTAATAAATGCTCTACCATCATTACTTTTTTTTCCATCTGTTTTTTAGGGTTCTCATTTGGAATGATTTAGTATTACATTTTAGTATTCAAGTAGTTATGTAAGTATATATTAATAGGCTTTTGCTTGTGTCATTTATAGCAAAACTTGAAGTACACACTCCCAGTTGGGAAATAAAGTGGCATGCAGTTATGCATAGTCTCAAAAATACTTAATTTAAAAAATACATAATAATTCGGGGTTAGTGGGAAACTTGCTAAAAATTTGAGATAACAAATTAGCTTTTCTAATATCAAGTAATGATAGAAACATATTGTTAAAGTAGATAGAATTAATAACTTTTTACATAATTGAAGTTATAATAAGGAGTTAAGTGGGTAGCTTAGCTGCAGTTACTTTGGTTATCCACAAGAGGGAGAGCTTACTCTTAGTAATAATTTTAGATTTCTTTTACTATGTAGTTTTCAGTTCAGGCAACATTAAAGGCAGAAGACAGAAAGATTAAGTATGTGTTAAAACACAGTGACCTAGTTTTCATTTTCATTTAGCTCTTAAGCAGTTTTCCTCAAATTTCATTGAAAAAATGCATTTTAGAGACTGTTGTTAAACACCTTTATAATTATTTCATATGCCTAGCTATTTCAAATAATTAAAATGTGCTTGGTATTTCAGGAGCTAAACAGTATCACTGGTATTTTCTTTTTTCCAAGACAGGTACTGATTTGCCATCTCAAAAATGCCAGTAGTAAACTATTTCTGAATTGCATTATTCATATCATGACTGTCTATGTAATTAGTATGTACACAACATTTATATTTATTGCTGTGTAATTTGAGTAACCCTTTGGAAAGCATACTGAATGTCTTAAGATTGCACTAAGGAACCAGCAATACCCATCACACTTTAGATAAGTTCATTGAAGCTTTTTTTTTTTCATTGTAACAAACTACTGGTGAAGTGGTGCTGGTTAACTTACTTTTATGAAGTAATTATTTCACACCTATTAAAAATCTGCAAAAAGCCCTGTGATGACATTTATGACAGACTAAAACAAGTAGATTTTTCTCCAAAGCAGTATAAACTTTATTGTGCTACTTGTATTAAAAGAATTACAGTCTGAATAGTTTAACAAAAAAGTAAAACTTAACCTTACATAATTCAAAATAATTTGTTTTAAATTAAATTCAGATTTTGAGAGTGTTATTTGCCTTGAAGTTTTAAGTTTTTGTTATGGCTAGACAAAAACTGAAGCATGCGGGTTGGGAGCATGGTTCAGGTGGTAGAGTGCTTACTTGCCTAGCATGTGCAAGACCCTGTGTTCAATCCTCAATATCCAGTAAATACAACAAAAAAGAAAGAGGGTTAGGTGTAATGACTCACTTCCGTAATCCCGATAACTTGGGAGGACTGCAGTTTAAGCCCAGCTCAAGCAAAAGGTTAGGGAGACCCCCATCTCAACAAAGAAGCCAGGCGTGGTAATTCATGCTAGTAATCTCAGCTCTTAGGACACATAGGAAAGTCTTAGGCTAGCCCAGACAGGAAGAGATTCTATCCAAAAAATAACTGAAGCAAAAAAAGGGCTAGGAGTGTGGCTCAAGTAGTAAAGCTTGTCTGGCAAGTGCAAGGCTCTGAGTTCAAACCCTAATATCCCTCTCCCCCTAAAAAAAGACAGGCATGAGGTGACATGTTTCTTTGTTTAATTTCTATAGCGCTAAAGTATATGCTGAAGGCAGTGATGATTGTTTCAGTACTACAATATGTATATATTTTTACATTTACATTATTTTGTGTACTATAAAAATGTGCTGGAATTTCACTTAGTTGGCAGTTAAGAACAAAATCATGAATATAAGAATGTTTAAAAGAAAATAAAACCTTTAAAAACTAGATGTAAAATAATTTATAATTCCTCAGATATTAAAGTAAAATTCTTTTAAGTATAAAAATCTGCGAGGCATTTTTGAAGTTTTTGTTTCATATAATCCTCTCTCTAGCTTGCTTTTCCTATGAGGAAATCATCTGGCTCTTCATGTCTTATGCTGTCATATCACATTGGTTTAGAACCAACAACATTAGACAACCCAGTCAAACATAAAGAATGTAATGCATGAAACCTAAATTTTATTTTAATGTAGACTTGGGTATATATTCAGCAATTGATACATCATTTTCAGTTCACAGTGTCAAAAATTGAAATTTAAAATCCATATGTGAGTGAATGTGACTTTATTCTTGATGAAATTTGCAAAGGAAGAGCATATTCCTTACTGCTTACTAATAATATTAACACCACTGTACATTATAGGCTATAATCTCAGTTCTGAGAAGAAATCTGTAAGAAAAAGAAACTCATTGGTTAGAATATTTCTTTTTATTATAGTGTTTCAATACATAGTTAATTGCTAGAAACAAGACTGTTATTCCTAGGTCTTTTCACTTATAACATCCTAATTATGTATCTTTCAGTTGTTTAATTTACATTATCATGAAAGTAACTGGAGCAGAAATGTAAATCTGCTTATTTCTATTTTAAAGTTATTCCCTTTTGTCCATAAAAAAGAGTGATGAGCACTAACTACTTTTAAAAAATTGTGTTTCAGTGATAATATGCAACATGCATACTGGGAATTGAAGAGAGAAATGTCTAATTTACATCTGGTGACACAAGTACAAGCTGAACTACTAAGAAAACTGAAAACACCAACTGCAATCAAGAAAGGCAAGTCATTGTTTGCCGGATACCACAGATTCCAGCCAGAGTGCTTGAAGAGCAGCTAGCTATCATTATCTTATCAAAATCTCATCAAATGAGTTTGATAAGGCAAAGTATATATAGCGTTTTCACAGCCTGCATTCTCTGCTCTGGCTTCAGTCTCATACTGGTCAACTTCACACATAAAGGTGTTGCTGAAGTGTTTTTTTTTTTTCCAGTACTGTATTCTTTTCCCCTTGTGGCTTTTCTCAGCCAAGTGTTGCTTATGTGTATAGGGCTGAGGTGTTAGGTTTGCTCTAGTTGACCTTTTACCACAACTACTTGATACGTTTAAAAAAAAAAAGCCAAAAACAATTTTTTTTCATTTCAGTGCTACAGAATATATCAAAGATCTAGCTTTTCAAGTTCTTTTCCAAAACAGTGACTTTGATTCATTTTGTTGTTTGCGTTTTTTTAATAAACTTTTCTTTCCATAAAAGATGGATGATTAGCTGGGAGACTAGGTGCTTTCCCCTTCAACCAACCAAAAATTTCCATTGCTTTTCCTTGATTTTCATATTTAATTGTTTGACGAAACTTTTTGAGTTTTGTGTTAGGTAGTAGTGGCTAATTTTTCTCAAGCTGTTTTTATACCCTGGAGAAATCAGCTTGTCATATGTAGTATTACATAATAGGTTTATTTCTAAAAAGTTGTGTACCATAAAATTGAATGCCCTAAAATTTACTTATTAAAGGAATGCAATGTGACTTTTTAAAAAGGGTAATCAACTGCCTGATTTAAAATTGTTATTTGCACTTCAGGTTGTCTTAAACATAAGAGAATTGTTTTATAAATGTCAGGAATGTTTCCTTTGAGAAGGAAAATTAGATTCAGAATTCCATTCAGTTTCTGGAACATTGGTTGCTTATGAATCTTCCAAAATGATATGGTGTTTAGCAAGTCTAGCTTAATTTATGGTTCACTTTGGCCTTTAGTTTTCCAGTGGTCAGGTTCTGTCCAGAGATTGTAAGTGAATGGTAGAAACAAAAGTTCTCTTTAAAGGGACTCTGATTTTAGGAGTGAATATTCAGATGGTTCTTTGTTTACATAATAAAACTTCAAAAGAATATAAAGAAAAGCTCTTTCCATGCTTAGAAGTGGTTCATCTTTGTGTTGCTTCTTAGTTGGTTGCTGATATATCTTCTGATGCTTTGAACCATGAATTTTCTAGCACATTTCCTTTGACAATGGCAAGCACAAAATCATCAGTGCTTACCACAGAACTCATTGTTTTGAGGAGTACAGAGATAAGACTGTAGATCAGTTTTCTCTGAGCTACCGAAGATGAACAATATTACTTCAGTTCTCCATCCCTATGGACTCTCTCAAGAAAAAAGACAGCTTATTTTATCATGGAGTTCAATCTCTTGTCTTCTAAAACTACATAGAGTCAAGCTTTAGCTACATTTTGGCCATTTTCGGACTAAAGATAAATTTGTCATTCTACCCTGGTAGGTTGTAGAAGAGACACTCCTTTTTACCAGTGTAACTTAATAATAACTTTAGTCTTTATTTCTGAGCCACTGCACATATATGAAATACTTTTTTTTTTTATTTTTTCATTGACCTGTATTGTGATCACAGCAGAATTACATTTGCTATTTGTATGTGTTTTATAATAGAATTTACAACTTCTATTTAAATGGCTTTATCCGTGACAACCATTGAATATGATATTACAACTTCATTTGGCTCTTACCAATTCAGAATGTAATTATTTCTGAAAAAGTTTACTTTTGGTCCCTCCCATGGAGAAAAGGTGTGAGTAAGTAAAGGAATGTTATATTTAGCTAAAACTGAAGAACAACTTTCTCAGTCTCCACTGACACATAAATGGTCTGTAAGCCTCCTCTAGCCACATTACAGCCAAGAACAAGATCCTTACTTGGTATATTTTAACTTTTTTCATTTACAACTTTCTAAAATACATGTTTCTTCATCTTTTAACAGTTCTGTGACATAGGCAGGAGAGGATTACTACATCCATTTTATAGACAAGGAAATTGACACCTGATCTGATTAGAGCTCAAATCAACTATTTACAGAACCCCACTGATCATACTGATTTGGAAAGGTTAATTTCATTACCAGTTCCAGAATTCAGCCAAATTAGTGGAGTAGTGTAATATTTTATGATCACAAATGCTATGAAAACTGACATTTAGCCTGTGCTTTCTTTTTTAGCCTGTGCCCCAGTAGGATATGTTGAAGACCTTGGGAAAGACAGCACGAAATTGCACTTGATGAATTTCACTGCAACATACAGAAGACATCTCCCTCTCTCACCAAATGGCAAAGCTATTTGTCATACTCCATCTTCCCCTTTACCAGGAGATATAAAGGTTTTATCAGAGAAAGCAATTCTCCAATCATGGACAGATAATGAGAGATCCATTCCTAATGATGGCACAGACTTTCAAGAACACAACTCTTATGGCAGAAATTCTTTGGAAGATAATTCTTGGGTCTTCCCAAGCCCTCCTAAATCAAGCGAGACAGCATTTGGGGAAACTAAAAGTAAAACTTTGCCTTTACCTAACCTGCCACCATTGCATTACTTAGATCACCATAATCAAAACTGTGTTTATAAGAATTAGTTATGAAGAAATTCATGATTTGATCATGAGAACACTATCAGTGGTTCTTCAATAGATTATTTAATAAAACTGAAAGTGGATTTTGATTAAGAGTTCTTAAGTATGTACATATGAACATACCATATGATAGTATATCGTTGATTTTTCCAGTATGAAAGAAGAGTGCCCTCCAGCTCCATGTTCTATGAGTCAGATGTATGCTACTATATGAACTAATAAATGTAAGGTGTTTCAAAAAAACAATTCTGGCTTTAGTAATTGTAAAATTTTGCTTTTCAGATAAAAAATGGAAATGGAGATTTTTAGACACGGTTTTAAAAAATATACGAAATGCCTAAATATCCATTTATTAAAATAAAAGGAAGCTTTTAACATAGGAAAAAACACGTATGTTGGTTCAGATCACATAAAGAAGCAAAAGGTGATGTGAATAGGTTATAGTTCTGTTGACTAGATGATGCATAAAGATTTGAAATATAATGGATAAAAGTGTCTAGGTTATTATATACTACTGTGTTTCAAGGTTTAAGATTTAAAATAATTTTTTAGTCACAACTGGATAAAACTTTAGAATTGCAGTGTGAATTCTAAGACTTGAAATAACTTGACCATTGAAGCCACCTTTGTCCTAATACATTCAAGCCCTAAATGGAAAAATAAAAAGATGAAATAATGTGGTGGGTGAATAAACTTATAACCTTATAAACCATTTAAGTAGAAGTTGAAAGAGTATTTCACAGGTTACATTCTAGTTTGTCCCTTCAGTGGTCCGTAATGAAAATGTAAATGTAATGTATGTAACCAAAGGGAATAAAGCTGGTTGTTATATAGAGCATTTTATACATTAGACTTTATTTTGAAGTGCAGTATTTGGGAAAGTGATTTTTATTTAATTTTCATTCTAGAACTAAATTTTGTTCTATATGGAAACAGTACAGTCAAAATGTCCTCAAACTCATTCTAACTGGGCAATCATTTGTGAATAAGTAAGGAGATAACAAAGATTGTTTCACATGGAAATTTAAATTCCTTCAGGGTAGAGATATTAAGAAGAGTAGTAGTAATATATTATTGGTTTATATACCTTTTGTCTGGGATAAAGAGTTTCATGTAGGAAGATTATCCTTTTTATAGGCATTTTCATATATCTTGAACTCAAAAGAATCTCAGATCTCTTATATTACATACATAAAGTTCACTGTTCACCAGATATTTCTGTCTATTATCTTACTTATTCAAGCTTATTGTGATTAATGGAATTGGTGCCAGATGCTGGAATTTATTCTGACCAATGAACACAGCTGACTCAAGGGAGTAGTCTCCTGCCAACTAATAGAACAAAACCCAATATGCATAAAGCAATACCAGACTCTAGGCTTTAGCTGAAGGAAGCAACTACCTGTGTAATAACAAAGCAGCAGAAACTATTTCTCATGTGGCTGCATATGCTGTATATTATCTCTAATCCCTAATGTAGCTTACTGGTTTGTGTATTTAAAAACCAAGATTGGAAATTTACCCATGTAAAGAAAATAAGTCTTAGGAGATAATGGCTTGATTAATGTTTTGAACAATGCCAAAAAATTGTTTAATTAAAATTACTTTTGTTTGAAATGGAAGTGAATGTGAAATACTGTCTTCTCCTATACATCCCAAAGTCTGATAATGTCATTATTTGATTCCTTTAATTTGATACGTGTAAAAGACATTTGTTTTGTTAAACTAACATAAGTGTGTTAGTTCCCTATAAACAATAGTAATAGTAATGGTAGCTATCAAGCAGGTATGCTAGAAAGTCAGTGATTGATAGTTTAAAAGTGTCAGATGAGGTGTGAGACTCAGCTGAAGTGTGAGACTCCTTAACAAGATAACATTAATCCAAAAATATTTTATCCACAGAATTTTTAAATATAAGCTTGATCATTTCTGTTCTTGTTAAGATTCAAAAATGAGACTAGTCCATCTGTAGCTTATCATTTATTTACACTGGAAATTTAATATTAACCTTTCATACTAGCTGAAATTTAACTCCAAAGAGTTTCCCTTGAAATTTTCTTTAATCTTTAGATTTCTTTTTGTAAGATAACCCAATTCAACACATCTCTAACTTTTACTCAACTATATGAAGAAAACACAACAAAAAAGCCAGTTTCCTGTAAAATGGCCCCTTGTTAGTTTGAGGTAAAATTTACATATCTGTAAGATTCTTTCCATTGAGTTGCTGCTAAAATAGAACTGAATTCATATATAGGGCAGGTATATACCTTGCCCTCCATATGTGAAACATTAGTTAGCCAATGTGAGGGGGTAAGATTCAGACTTAAAGGCTAAATAACTGGATCATGTGACACAATGATGTCAGCCTGAAAAGCTACCTGGAACGGGGACAAAAATTTGCAAGCAAAGGCACCAATGAAAAGGCAAAAATCTGAGGGAGACACACTAGTCAGGTAAACTGACTTGAGTGTGGAAAGGCACAAATATTCTTAAGTCTATTCAGAATGTGACTTGGTTTCTGCTATGAAAAAGAATGACTATTTGTCAAGTACCTACGAATTACATGACATCTACGTAAGTAAATTTTCCACATAAAATTGAGGTTGGGTACTTTTTTCATTAAAAATATGAAAGAATTACAGATTATGTATTTCATTAGCTTCTTAAAGTAACTGCTTTGCCTCTTCCTCACTTGAGTAATTAAAAACAAGAACTTAAGGTCCTATGTTTTAAGAAATGCACCAATATCAATAGGCCCATAGAGGAATAAAATCTTGTTTGCCCCTGTGCTGGGCAGTCTGTACATTTGTATATTTGCTTTGCTTTTGTCTGCTCTGGTAATCTCCATTGACCTGTGTACTGGGGAAAATGCAGTTTCTTTGTATTTCAAGTAAGAGTAAACAATTCTTTGAATGGTTCACTCAAGAGTTTAGAGGTAAAGTGTGGAACTTGACCATCCGTTGATTCTTTAGGTCTTGTTTCATTAAAAAAAAAAAAAGTCTCAAATCTATTTCTTGGGACTGGGACTTAAGTCAAATCTAATCTTAGTGGTTAATACTTTGTGATTTTAATGAGGGCTGTGTGGAAATATAAAATTTACTTATATGTAAACCCATTACAGAGCTGTGGTGGAGTTAATAGCGCAGGGGAAAACAAGCAAAACAATTTTTAATATGAGAGTTTAGCCTGGGCCCAAATTATTGCTTTGGTACAGAAACTTGTCATAATACCTCCTGAATCCACCATTATATTATAAAATGGTAATTCACACTTAAAACTTTTTAAAATGAAAGATTAAAGTACTTCAGTAGCCAAGTTAAACAGGTAATTTCAAAGAAATTTTTAACAAAGATAAAAGTAAAATTAATTCAATTAAGTACTTATCTAGGACTCAGGGTACAGCTCAAGTGGCAAAGCACTTGCCTAGGAAGCCCAAGGCCCTCAGTTCAATCCCCAGTATTGCCAAAAAAAAAAAAAAGATGTTTTTGTAAGTACTTATTTGTGTTTCCAAATAAGCCTTTACTACGATTAATAATTACCAGATAGTGTTAGGGTACCTTTGAGGCTTTGCAGCCCACTCAGCCTGAAACCGGCCATGGCTAACATGACCCAAGCCGCCACTTACTGGAACAAAGGGAGGTGGGATGATTTCTGGGAACAGGGACTGTTTCTGGTTAATCTTGCTAAACGGTATGTGAGTCAATGAGTTAAGACACCTGGTGTTTATTAAGTTCCTGATAAATAATCTTCAAGTAATCTTGCCCCACCACCAGGATGTGGGTGATATCAGAAATATGTGACCCCAGGGGCCATAAAAAATTGCTGTGTGACCATGACTAATGTTTAAAAAAAATATAAAAGCAGCCTGAACTCTGCATTTGGGGTCCTCGTTGAAACCCGCTGCGTCGGGCGGATACCTGGACCCCAGGTGGCTGGAAATAAACCTCGCTTTGTGGCTTACATTATCGTGAGTGTCTTTTGTTCCTCTGAGGGGTGGTCGACCTCGGACCCCAACATCTGGAGGTCCCACCAAGATCTCGGCCCCTCCCTGAGAGGAACAAATGGCCTCTGATACTGAGGTTTAATTGAGAAAGACCGCGGAAGGAGGACTGGCCACCTCCGTTTGCAGGGACTTAGAGTCCCTGTCTAAATTTGGTTGAGAATTCTCGTTGAGTGGAAGGAAGGGGTTACAGCCCTGGAGGCTCCACTATTGGAAGTCGTGGGAGACATCCCCCACGGCCAGGAACCACACCAACGTCCTCAGTGGACGCCATTTGGGCGGTCTTTGGGTAAGGATCCTGAATCTGGTGTGAATGGAATTACGCCTGTGAGAGTAGTCTGGTTGACCGACCGGTACTTGTGCATGTTAGAGAGTCCTGTGCGAATTTGTCTGCTGGAATTGTCTCTCTTGTTCTTTGTTGTCTCCTCTGTCCCTCTCTCCTGATCATCATGGGACAGGCTCAGGTAACTCCTAAGACCCTCTTTCTGAGTCATTTTTTAGAAATCCGTGCTAAGGGACACAATTATGGTGTGGAAATTAAGAAAGGTAAGTTTAATGCCCTTTGTTCAGCAGAATGGCCAACCTTCAATGTAGGCTGGCCTCCTCAGGGTACCTTCTCCTTGGACACGATTAAGAAGGTCCGAAACGTCATTAATAGACCCGGTCTTCACAGCCACCCTGATCAATATCCCTATATCCTTATGTGGCAGACTTTGGTAGAGGACCTTCCTTCCTGGCTGCAGCCATTTATCCATGAGTCACCTGCAGACTGGCCTACGATACTGGCCATGTTGGGGAACCACCCCCATTCCCATTACTTCCCCTAAAAAGCCTATTCTACAGGAAGAACCAATTCTCCATCCCTCCTTGATAGACTTAGATTTTGAAGTAAATCCCCCGCCATATGCCGCTGCTGTGCCACTCCAGCCAGAGGCAGCTGGCCCCCCTGAGCCTCCCCACTCGTCAGCCTCCCCATCTGCACCCCTGGTCTCCGGACCGGCAAGGGGACTCAGGCCCCGTAGGCAGCAAGAGGAAACCCCAGAGGAGCCCTCCTCCACTTCCACTAGGGCCCCCATCCTCCCGGTGTGGGCCCTGGGTGGTGCTGGTCCCGATGGGGGACGCACCTATCAGTATTGGCCTTTTTCAAGTAATGACCTGTACAACTGGAAAGCCCAGAATCATCCTTTTTCTGAGGACCCTAGAGGACTGACTGATCTGTTTGAGTCCATTTTGCATACTCACAGTCCCACATGGGATGACTGTCAGCAGCTCCTTAAGACTCTATTCACCACCGAGGAACGGGAGCGGATTCTCACTGAAGCCAGAAAGAATGTCCCCGGCAACAATGGATGACCAACCACCCTGCCAAGCCTGGTTAATGATTGTTTTCCTTTGAACAGACCCGACTGGGACTATGGGGACGCAGAAGGTAGGGAGCATCTCCGGGTCTACCGCCAGACTCTTATGGCAGGCCTCCAGGCGGCAGCTCGCTGCCCTACCAGTTTGGCTAAGATAAAGGCAATAATGCAGGGGGAAAGCATGGTGGACACTGGGACCTAATACTCAGTCCTTAATAAACCTACTGAGCCACTGTCCCAGAAAATTAGTCTTGTGCAGGGAGCCACTGGGTCCAAGGCATATCAATGGACTAGCAAGCGTCAGGTGGATTTGGGTCAACATCAGGTGACCCATTCCTTTCTGGTCATTTCTGAGTGCCCTGCCCCCCTCCCATGTTTGGTATACCACTTTGGACTTGAAAGATGCTTTTTTTAGCATAGCCCTGGCACCCAACAGTCAACACATTTTTGCCTTCGAATGGCATGATGAAAATACGGGAACCCCCGGACAGCTAACATGGACTAGACTTCCACAAGGTTTCAAAAACTCCCCTACTCTGTTCAATGAGGCTCTTAATCAGGATCTGGACTCATATCGCCGGAGCCAGAGTTCCGTGGCTTTTGCAGTATGTAGATGACTTGCTTCTGGCAGCTGCATCTGAAGCTGAGTGCCGGCAAGCCACTGGAGACCTCCTCCAGGAGCTGGGGAAGTTGGGCTATCGGGCCAGTGCAAAGAAGGCTCAAATTTGTAGACAGTCACCTACCTGGGGTATGAACTAAAAGAGGGAATCAGATGGTTAACGAATGCTATGAAAGAAACTATTCTCAGACTCCCCGTCCCCACCTCGGCTCGAGAAGTCCATGAGTTCCTGGGGATGGTGGGCTACCGGCTGTGGATATTGGGGTATGCTGAACTGGCAAAACCCTTATACGAGGCAACTAAGGACAAGGCCCCTTGGGCCTGGGGGCCAGATCAACAAAAGGCCTTTGAGGAGCTCAAGTCCACCCTCCTGAGAGCCCCAGCCCTGGCACTGCCAGATCCTCTAAAGCCCTTCACCTTCTTTGTAGATGAAAGGAGGGGGATAGAGAAAGGGGTACTAATGCAGCACCTAGGGCCCTGGAAGCATCCAGTTGCTTATCTATCCAAAAGGTTAGACCCAGTTGCAGCGGGCTGGCCCCCATGCCTGCTGATCATAGCGGCAGTTGCCCTAATGGTAAAGGACGCAGATAAGCTCACTTTTGGGCAACTGAAGGTGGTAACCCCCCATGCAGTAGAAGGGGTCCTAAAGCACTCTCCAGGTAGATGAATGACCAACGCCTGACTGACTCATTACCAAGGGCTCTTGCTGGATGCTCCCCACATCCTCTTTTCTGAACCAGTCTCTCTGAACCCGGCCACCTTGCTGCCAAATCTGGACCTGGAAGCCCCTCTACATGACTGTCAGGAGATTATAACTGAAGTCACCCAAGTGCACCCCGATCTCCAGGACTCAGCCCTACCCAACAGTGAGCTGCCATTACACTTTCGGCACCGTCCATGTACATGGTGCCATCTACCGGGAAAGGGGTTTCATTACAGTGGAAGGAAAGGAGCTACATAACCTCCCGGAGATCCAGAGACTATTGACTGCTGTGCAGAAGCCCCAAGCTATTGCAGTAGTACATGTTCCTGGCCACCAATCTGCCCAGACTCCAGAAGCTACAGGGAACCGGTGTGTGGACAAAGCAGCCCAAAATGCTGCTTTGGCCTCCACGGCCCTAGTGCTGACTTTACCTGTGCCCGAGCTTCCATGCTTGCCACTGCGACCCGAGTACACCCCGGAAGACAAACAGTGGATCCAAGATCACCGATGCCTGGAGCCCAATCAGCAAGGCTGGTATTGTGATATCGAAGGGCGGCTGATCCTGCAAAGTTAGGACTGTTTCTCCTCTCCAATTTACATCAAGCCAACCATTTAGGCAAGAAGAAACTACTTGCCCTCCTCGAGTCAGCCCACCTCCAGTTCCTGCACCAAACAGCCCAGATTCAAAAGATTGTGGACCAATGTGCCAGGTGCCAGACTATGAAACCCAGCAAAAAGGGACTCCTACATACATACAGGTACACGGGTACGGGGGAGGGCGCTGGGACGGAGCTGGGAAGTGGATTTTACTGAAGTGAAGCCGGGAAGGTATGGGTATAAGTATTTGTTGGTTCTGATAGACACCTTCTCAGGCTGGGTTGAAGCCTTTCCTACAAAACGAGAGACTGCCCAGGTTGTAGCTAAGGTTTTGCTGGAGAAAATCATACCCAGATATGGCATCCCCGAAACTCTAGGCTCTGATAACGGTCCAGCTTTCATCAGTAACATCCTACAAGGGCTGGCCCGGGCAGTGGGGACTAATTGAAAACTACATTTTAAATATAACCCCCAGAGTTCAGGGCAGGTAGAAAGAATGAATCGGACCCTGAAGGAGACCTTATGTAAATTAGCCATCAAGACTGGCGGAGACTGGGTGGCCCTCCTACCCTATGCCATCTTCTGGGTTCAAAACTCACCATATGTACATGCATTGACACCTTCTGAAATTCTATATGGGGCTCCGCCCCCCCCATTGTTGTCCGAACCCTACCAGACCAAGACCCCAGTACAGCCCCAAATTACTTGGCCAGCTTAAAAGCCCTACAGGAGGTCCAATGTGAAGTCTGGCCCATAGTGCGCGCCTTGTATGAGACAAAAGACACATCGAACCCGGAACATGGCATCATCCCAGGGGATTGGGTATGGGTAAAGAAGCACAGAGCCTGCACTCTGGAAGAAAGATGGAAAGGTCCTTACCTGGTCATTCTGGATACCCCCACTGCTCTTAAGGTTGACAGTGTCAGGCCTTGGTTCCATCACTCCCACGTGCATCAAACCAGTCAGCAAAAACAGAAAGATGCTAGAGAGTGGACCGCACAGCGGCACCCAGATAACCCATTGAAGCTGAAGCATTTGCGACCCCAGAAACATGCAGAGTCTTCAAGAGCAGCCACGATGGGTTGGCTGGTCGCTCTGATCTTGCTCAACGCCCAGAGCAGGAGCCTCGCAGAAACCAACCCTCACCAGCCCTATAAGCAAACCTGGATACTCACTGACAGGGCCTAGACTTATTGTTCCTCCAGCAGGGGGGACTATGTGCAGCCCTAGGGGAGGAATGTTATTTTTATGCTGACCATTCAGGGGTAGTTAGGGATTCTATGGCTAAAGTGAGGGAAGGACTGGCAAAAAGGAAACGGGAAAGGGAAGCCAAAGAAAATTGGTTCAAAGCTTGGTTCAATAGGTCCCCCTGGTTCACTACCTTGGTCTCTACCCTGGTGGGCCCTCTGGTCATACTACTGCTTATCTTAATCTTTGGTCCTTGTATTCTGAATAAGGTAGTGACCTTCGTGAAAGATCGAATTAGTACAGTCCAACTAATGGTCCTGAGACAGCAATATGAAAAGTTACCTAGCCCTGAGAATGTTTACGCTCGTCACCTAGATGAGCATGATTCCTCATTATGAACAACTAAAGGGAGGGAATGTTAGGGTACCTTTGAGGCTTGCAGCCCACTCAGCCTGAAACCGGCCATGGCTAACATGACCCAAGCTGCCACTTACTGGAACAAAGGGAGGTGGGATGATTTCTGGGAACAGGGACTGTTTCTGGTTAATCTTGCTAAACGGTATGTGAGTCAATGAGTTAAGACACCTGGTGTTTATTAAGTTCCTGATAAATAATCTTCAAGTAATCTTGCCCCACCACCAGGATGTGGGTGATATCAGAAATATGTGACCCCAGGGGCCATAAAAAATTGCTGTGTGACCATGACTAATGTTTAAAAAAAATATAAAAGCAGCCTGAACTCTGCATTTGGGGTCCTCATTGAAACCCGCTGCGTCGGGCGGATACCTGGACCCCAGGTGGCTGGAAATAAACCTCGCTTTGTGGCTTACATTATTGTGAGTGTCTTTTGTTCCTCTGAGGGGTGGTCGATCTCAGAGCATCTACCAGGTCTGAAGTCCTTTCCTGTATACTTTATCTGTACTTGAAATACTCAGTAAATCCTCACAGTAACTCTGACATTTATTACACAGTTAATGAGTGGTAGAACTAGGAAGGATTCTGGGTCACAGCCATTCTGCTATCCTGCCTAATAACACCTTTGAAGATCGTTCATTCCAACTTCCTGTAGTACTTTCGATCCCCACAATTAGCAATTGAAGAAGATAACATCCACACAGAGTTGTGTCAAAAAAATCCAGAATGACCAGGAAAACCATGTCCCATTTCAGTATTCTGAATTCTATCCCTTAATTAATAAACCAGAATTCTATTTCATATAAAATTAGTATTTTCATAATTAGGATAAACCAAACACACTCTGAAGTTCATTGTTTCAGGTGATTTATATTATAAATTCTTTCCATAAGTATGAGTGTCCTAATATATTTGAACTTTCCTTACATGCTTGTGGGAAGCTTCTGTAGCCTTTTCTTGGTAGGAACTCCTGTTTTTCTGAATTCTTCCCTTTCCTTCAAATACTCTGTTTTGCATTCTTCATAAAAGGCTGGATCATTATAGCTACAAGAAGGAAATGAAAATCTACTGTAAAAGTGATTACCCTTACAAATAACATAAGCTTATCTTGATACTCAGGTTCAATCTTCAGAAGTAGACTTTTAGTAATAGTCACAAATTTACTCTAAACATTATGTAAATGGGTGGAAACAAAGACCCAAAGATTTTTAAAAACTTTAACTCATACATGAAAAGCATAAAATTGTGCATATTGATGAAAAAATTGTTTTTTATATAGCACTATCACAAGATAACAGCAATGACAAACACAGGTTCTATTCCTTAAGGAGCCTACAGTATTATAGGGCAGGCAAGAAAAGACAACTAACTACAAGTGTAGTGACAGAGATAGGGCCCAGGACCCCATGGAAACATAGGGAAGGGGCAGAGGGGGGAATGTCATGAGGAAATGCCAGAGTTGCATTTTGAAGGTCCAAGAGAAATTCAAATAAAAAGCACATGTGAAAAGGCACATAAATTAGGAAAACAGACACTGCAAGCGGATAAGTATACCACTACAGCAGATTATGCACATAGCAGAAATGGCCTAGGATAAACATGGAACACATAAGGACCCAATCATAATGGGTAATTTATGCCATACCAAGAAATTAAAATCTATCCTGAAGGGAACACAACATGATTAACAGCAAATGGAAGATCAATTTTATGTCTTAGATAAATCTTACAGCATGTGGTAAGTAGGCTAAAGTGCAAGGGGCAGCAAGATTAGAATCAAGATGTCCAATAAACTTAAAATAATCCAGGCAAAGGCCAGGCATAGTGGCTATGTTTACAGTCCCAGCTACATGGGAGGCAGAGATGAAGAGGACGGCAGTTTGAAGCTAGCCTGGGGAAAAAGACCCCCATCTCAACCAGTAAGCTGGAAGTGGTAGCATGAGCCTGTCATCCAAGCTATGTGGGAAGCCTAGGTAAGAAGACTGTGGTCTGAGGTTGGTCTCGGCAAAACCATGAACCTCTACCTGAAAAGTAATGAAGCAAAAACGGCTGGAGGTGTGTGCCATGAAAAAAAAAAAAAAGTATCCAGGCAAGAAATTAGGCCAAAGGAGGAATTGCAGGAATGAAAAGGAAAAGATGGATTTGGTGAGATTAGGAAATCACCAATTAAGAATTAGGAGACCAGACTAGATTTTAAACAACTGTGTAATTCACAAAGACACACGATGTGGAGGAACAAAAAACTGCCAAGTTCAAGCCAGGTGCAGGTGGCTCACATCTGTAATCCTAGCTAATTAACAGGCCGAGATTGGCAGGATCATGGTTCAAGGCCAGCCCAGACAAAAAATTGTGAGACTCCACCTCAAAAAACAGTTGGGTGAAATACTACACACCAGTCATCCCAGGGACAGTGGAAAACATGAAGCGGGAGGATCATGGTCTAGGCCAGCCTGGGCAAAAAGCAAGACCCCATTTCCAAAATAACCAGAGCACAAAAGGGTAGAGGCATGGCTCAAGCAGAACAGTGCATGACTAGTAAGCACAAAGCCCTGAGTTCAAACCTCAGTATTGACAAAAAAAGTTGTCAAGTTCAGTCTGAGACCTGACAGAAGCAGAGATACACAGTATCCATAGTAAGTAATCTAATCAATTGAGTGCAAACTAAACTTTCTCAGATTTAAGAATGAGAAGAAAACCCAGGGTAACACCTAACTTTAAGGAACAGGTTAACAAAGAAATGTCTGAAAACCACAGGGAAATGTATGGGAAGTTGGAAAGCATCATGACAGAAATAACTCAAAAGAGAACTATAAGGAGAGAGTGCCAGAAAAAGGCCAAGTAAAAGGAAGGACTATTTGTTGGATTTGACACTGTGAGCATAATATTTAGGAATAGCAGTTTCTGTGGAGTCAGAAACCACAAATCATAGTACATTGAGGTGAGAGGTAGAAATAAAGAAGCACGTGTTGTTAATGTTTCGAGATCTTACTATACAGAGATGGAAGTAGTACTTACATTGATTTTGTGAAATATCAAATAGTAAAGTAGAGGGCTTTCTTATTCTAAGATTTAAGAAAGTATTTCTTTGAGTACTCTGAGACCTAATGTTTCAGAATTTTCCTTCATAACTATTTACTTTCAGCTCATGTCACATCCATCTGTTTCCTTCCTTGCTTCTCTCTTCTAAACCAGCAGAAATTATCCCTTCCTGGCTCCTCCCCCAGAATGCACTAGAACTTGTTATTTTCTCATATTTGTAGGAGGTGAAAAATAGAATATGCAAATGATCAATGTTCAGATAACAAATAATAAATACAAATCTAATAACAGTACAGATAAAACAGAGCTAACACGTACCAAGTACCTACTATGCTCCAGGTACCATGGTGAATGTGTTTACAAATAGTGCCTCACAATCTCTCTGGGTAGAATTATCCTTGGTCACAATGAGGAATCTCCCCAAAGTCACAAGGCTAGAACTCTGCTCTCCAGACCCAGAAGTTGAGCCCAGGCTTCCCTCTGTACTCTGTGCACTTGTGAACTCTGCACTAGAATTTTTCTATCTGGAGAGAGGGATAATGTGTCAAACTAAGAACATGCTATTTGAATAACTGAATCAGAGGTCAAAAAAATTCTTTATCAATATATACAACATTTTAACAAACTTCAGACACACAAAGTTTAAGAGGTTCACTTATTAAACTTCTCCGCCATGGCAACAAAGACAAAATAAATAGCAGAAGGAAGTCTTCACTCTGATTTTAGCTGACCCCAAATCCTGTGGTATTAATCACTAATATGTAAGAAGCCTTTTCAATAGTATTTTGTCACTGGAAAACCAATACTTACTCCAATCTCTACCTCGTCTCCATTTTCCTGTAGTAATAGAAATAACTCCTGATGAAAATGCCCGTTAAACAATAGGAAAACACATCTTGAACTTAATGGATTTCATGACGGGTTTTCCAGGCACTTTGTTTTTTCAGACAGTCTTTATATGTATCTTGGACTGGCTTGGAGCTTGCTATGTAGGCCTGGAACTCACAGTACTTCTGCCTCAGCTTCCCAAGTGTTGGGATTATAGCTGTGCTTCACCGCACCAGGCTCTTAGGCACTTTCACTATAGTTTTACAGAGCTTCAAAACTGGAAAGGAGTAGTTTCTCTGACCAGGAAAGATGGAATGTCACATTGTATTAGGCCTCTCTTCTAGGGGCCTTCAGCCTAGAGGTACAGAGGGGCTGGAAGTAGCTGCTCATGGAGAATGAGGACAGGGAACTCTGATGAAAAACTGTGACAGACATTGTGTGTTCAAGGAAGTGTTCTGTGCTACTTCAGCATCCCCCACTACCTGGGATCAGCACTGTGTGATGAGAAAGTATGGCCTTCTGGTAAAGACGGGACTTTCATGATGGGAGCAGGTCCTTACTTTCCAATTCCCATGAGAATTCTGGACTTTGGGACAAAGGCTGTGCAATTTCAGTGTCATCTGTGTAGTGCCTTAGCCTCTGAGAAATGGTTTGGAGAAAGGCAGCCCTTGACTTTCTTATATTGTTGCCTGGCACAGTAATGAATCTAGGCGTCTTGTGAGAGGACTTTATTCTGTGGGGAGCAACTGCTCTTGGTTGACTACTCAGTTTTCACATTTATAGTTAGCTGTGTTCACTTACAGAGACTGATGAATGTGAACTTCTATTGCTGGGATGTTCTCTCTCTGCCCTGCTAGATCAGCTCAAATGTTTCACATAAGGCCACACAGGAAGCACACACTGGCATTGGTAGTTTCTGGACATGGGAAATTTGGGGTCCAAGGAATAAATTCAGGGTAGCCTGTTGCCAGGCTTCTGTGCTCAGACACTATTAAGTGCTGAGCAGCATAGTCTCCAATATTCAGAGCAATGGCATGTCAGGAGTCATACCTAGTGTCTTCTCCAAGTGCTTATCAGTTTCCTGCATGGTCCACTGATGATACGCTACACACTGGTGGGAAGAAATAAGAGCCATAAGGTCTGTTCATGAGCAGTAAATGAGTCAGGAAAAGATGAATCCTCATGGGCCTCTCTGCAGGTAAGGCTGGATATACAGGACCCTCCCAGGTCAGATATCCAGGCTGGTGACCTAACCCCTCCTTACTCCATATGCTAGAGAAAGCACAGACATACAGGCTATAGATGTCCCCTTCCCACAAAAGGTTGAGGCTGAAGGCCTTTGGGGGTTGGTGGGCTGAACCATCTGCTCCTTGCTCATCTCAGAGGGCTGAGTGCATTGCCTCAGGGAGATACTGCTGCACTCTCAAGGAGAGGGGTAGTAGACCTAACAGTGAGGAATTTAGGGCTCCTGGGCAGGGTTGCATTTGCTAAGTAGTCTTGGATTCCTGGATGCACTGTGTCCCTTGTCTTGTTCATATTCCATGTTTTTCTTCTGTAGCTTCATGGGCAGTCTGGGCATTGCATGTGTGTATTTCCCTCTGCTTCAGGAGAGCCTAGCCAATTTTAACTGTTCAAGTTGTTCCCTCTACCCCTACTTCTCATGCAGCCCTAACATTTTTGTTTGTCCTTTCCTCCCAACCAGGCCTGGTCCTGTTAGCATCTGAGATCAGAGAAGACTGTACATGTGCAAGGTGGTAACAGCCATCCTTGTCCATTTCTAATTGTAAAATTGCCCAGAGGCTTACTTTTTTAAAAAATATATGCATCCTTTGCAAGGAGGCAGACAAAGAACTTAGAGGTTTTTTAAAGGAAATGCTCTAACAAAAGAGAAGGGCTAGATCTCTTCCCTCTTTCAATATGAGAACTGAACTTTTATTTATTTTACCTTGAATTTGCTTTACAACACGCTACCATGAGATACCAGTTCCCTCCCTGTTTCTCCTCTCTACTTATGATGATTCCCAAGTCCTGACCAAAGTCAGACATGTGCAGTAAACTTTCTCAAGTGGTAGTGGTACAAAGGGGACCTAAAGGACAAGTAACAAACACGAGCAATTGCTCTTCCTCTAGCCTGCTTATATTTTTGCCCATACTTATGTTCTCATGGGGAGTTCAGTATGATCAGTTGGAGTAAGGGATGCAACTATTAAGTTATTACAGACAACGTCTTGGCCTATGGGTTATACTGTTCCTCTTATATCCTGCTGTGCTTGAGTTCTCTTAATGAACCAGCCCTTCCCAGATGGCAGAGATTTGATCTCTCTGACTTATGATACACATCGACTGGTACAACAGTTGACAGAATATTAGGAATTAGATTCTATGCTAAGGAAACTTAGTGCATACTCTATTAGGGTGAGTATACTCCTGTACGATCTGAACCATCTCTTGATCTCTCTAGATTTGTATCTGAGTTAGCCCATTGTGCTAACTCTAATAAGACAATCTTTGAGTTTCTCTTGCCTGTCTTCATTCCTATACAGACCCATTACACTGTTTTTTTGAGACAAGAATAACCATGGGGCTGTGTTTGGTGAATCCTAAAGGGATTCATGGGTTTTTCTCAGTATTCCTATTTGTCATACATAGGGTCTTATAGAATATTTAAAGGCCTGTGTAGATGCTACTCTACTATCAGGTCCAACTGGTTTAGCAGTCAGCATGCAAATCTACAGGATATGAAAGACAATTTAAGTGGGGAGTCAAGCACCAGTGCTTCTATGGGAATCTGGGGTGAGAGATATGCATAGAATCTCCCACAATTACAGACAAGTGCTCCTACCAAATGTTTCTAGATTTTAGAACTCAACTTAAGGATGGTACTAAACATGGAAAAATGAATGATGACATTTACTGCCTGTATATTATTATTTTGTCTTGATTCTTCAATTTATATGTAATTTGGCATTATATGTATGGCATTATATGTGACATTATAAAGCTCTAGCAGAGTTGGGCATGGTGGCATGGGCCTATAATCTCAGGATTCGGTTTCAAAGCTTGTCTGGGTTACATAGCAAGACCCTGTTTCAAGAAATAAATAAACAAAAAATAAAAAGTAAAGCATTGAGAAAGTTTAACCTTTTAAGAGGGTTTTGAATTTCATAGACTCACAGCAGTTTCATAAGCTTCACCTGGAAGACTGCAATTCAAGGCTGGCCAGCCTCATGACATCAGTTCTATTTTTGTTTTGAGAGAAGGTGTTCCTGTGTGGCTCATACTTGTTTAAAATTTGCCATGTGCCCCAGACTGGTCTCAAACTTGAGATCCTACTGCCTCAGCCTCCTAAGTGCTGGGAATGACATCAGTTATTTATGTGTAAGAACAGGAATTGATTTTGGAGTGCAGTGTCTATGGGATGAGCTTGGACTTTGGGTTGTCTTCATTACTTATGATACGTAGCTTTGTGCTTACTTAAGAGATGATTTTAAATATTTTACATTTAGGGACATGACAAAATGTGTCTGTAATATATTTCAATCCTACATAGTGAACCCAGCAGTCTCAGGGTGACTGGTCTGTTCAGCAGGCACCTTTTCTCTGAGACCTTCCCACACTCTTTTGCTTTCTGTATGACTCAGTTCTCAGGCCAAAGCTGCTTGATTTGGTATTTTTCACCTGACCCTATGTGAGCAAATGCATGCTAAGTCTCATTAATCCCCTTTTACTGAAAGAATATAATTTAGAATACCTCCTGAGCTTTGTTCATTTCCGGTTTCTTTAAAACTATGGTTTCTTGCATTTTATAAAGTTTTTATGTTCTTTAAATGAAATGTTTGAGAACAAAAAACAATCTTCTCTTAAGTACACTAGGGAAGAACAGTATATCATAGAATGAATTCACTCCTTTACAGTAAAGAGCCTGGTACAGCTGCTGTCCTTAAATCAAGAGTTGCTGTTGATATTGAGAGGGGGAAAAAAAGTATGTTAATACTGAAAATATTCAGTGTGTTTCTTCATCTATGAATAAGTTTGGATTATCTCTAACATTCCTTCTAACTCCAACATTCTTAAAATCTGTAAGTTTATGCACACATAATTTGTTATTTTTAAAAATATGAGATTCAGACAATCATTACTTTTTTATTCAGTCTCCTAAGACTTTCTTTCACAAAGAAGCAGAGTATAAAACATAAAAGAAATGAGGAATGGCTAAAATTAAGACACACACAACTATCAATTAATAATACTTGATATTCTGCAATAAAAAATTAAGATCACACTACTATCAATACTTGATAGATATTCTGCAATACTATCTGTCAGTAATGTGGATAATAAAATGTAGAGAGATAAAACAGAAAACACCTACAATCAAAGACTTCTGTACACTTTCACGTAAGAATTTAAGGAATTACAACAAAATATTAGCGAACACAATACTAAAATCTTATTTTAAAAATTAAGTTCAAAAATCTAAATCTGCTTTTACATCTTTCATATGATTTGCTGCAACTTTTCTAGGAGTTAAACAACCCAACAAATCACAAGATTGGAAAAGTTCTTAGAGATAAGCTAATTCAGTCTCTTTCCATTAAAAAAAAAATTAGTCTTTACTATATTCCGTAAATCAACCTGTTCATGAAAAGGGATTTGACAAATCACATGAAAAATCATACATTTTTGTTTGCTGACTTCCTATTTTTAAACAAATATAATGTCAACAAACATAATTTGAAAAAAAACTTTTTACAAATTGTGGGGGTTGGTTTGTTTGTTTTTTGCGGTACTGGGGCTTAGAACTCAGGGCCTTCACTTTGAGCCACTCTGCCAGTCCTTTTGTGATGGGTATTTTCAAGATGGGGTCTCCTGAACTACTTGTTTGGGCTGGCTTCGAACCACCATGATCCTCCTGATCTCTGCCTCCTGAGCAGCTAGGATTACAGCTGGGAGCCACTGGCAACCAGCCAAATATGTGTGTTTTTCTTTTAGAATATTCTTCAACATATTAAAACTTTAGATGCAGCCAACAACATGAGAATCTGGTGTTAGGGAAGGTGCAGAATATATTATAGATAATGAGTCAGTTAACATAGGAAAGGGAGGGAAGGAGGGAGGGAGGGAAGGAGAACAAACGCTCAAACACTGAGGTAACTAACTTACTAAGCAGTGAGACATTCTTTCAATGCAGAATTTTCTTTCCGGCATTTTACTACCATAAGGATTCCAGACTCCTTGCAACATTTGGTAAAATCTGAAATAAAAAAATTTGAAAGGAAAAATAACCTGTAATTATATCAATATAATGTTTAATAGCTCTAAAACATTCACTTACCATCCACTACATACATAGTGCTTTGCATACAGGACATTTTGTCAACTAAAGACACAAATGGTAGAAAAAGGCAGAATAAAGATGGGTATCATTCACTCTGTAGTAATAAACAAGATTTGAGAGGAGGGAGAGAGGACTTCTGATACAAAAGGAAAGCAGGCTTTCTGGAGATAAACATAATATAGAGACCAAGTAGCATTTCTAGTAGGGGAAGAGTGTATTCTAAGGGAAATAAGAATAGTCAAAATTGTTTCTGCTGCCAATCTCAGGGTGTCATCTCAGAATAAGGCAGAGATGGAGGACTCCACCTGACTCCAGCCTGTTTTAGAAAGCCCAAGCAATGGTGCCATAACTTTACAGGACTGTTTTCTTTTTAGTTCCCAAGTAAGCTCTACATGTGGTGGAAATTTCAAATGGTATTCTGCCAAATTTCCATTCCAGTAGCTTACCTTTTAAATTGTACTAGCTCCGTATTTGCCTTTTCAGTACCACTGACCCAGAAAAGCCTGGTACCATATTCTAGACCACTTGCCACTCTGTCTTGTGTTTGCCTTAGGTCAGATTGAGTTCTCTTTTATCTTTTCCTCAGGACACCACACTTTGCTTTCCACCTTTTGCAGCTATCTTCCTCACTATTCTGGGCCCTCCTTTTTAACAATGACTGCTCTGGTTCCAGGATCTGCCACCTCTATTCTGTCAACAAATCTACCATTTCTATCTCAGATGATAAAACATGACATTAGCCTCACAAAGACTCTGTAGGCAAAACAATATCTCCTCAATGTCTTTTATAGCTCTTTTAATTCAAAATTATCAAGATTCTCCTCTTTCTTGAGCTATGTATTATCTTTCTAATTATTGAGGAATAAAAATTATTTTAATTAGCTTAAAGCATGCAGTAACTTCAGGAATCTCCATGAAGCTACATACTTACAATATGTAATAAAAATATCCTTAAGCCACACCAACCAAAAGTGACTGAGATATGTTTAATATATAAAAATTAGTCAGAAAACAAAAAACCAGTCAGAGCTGGTGCTAGTGGCTCACACCTATTATCCCAGCTACTTGGGAGGCTGAGATCAAGAGGACTGTGGTTTGAGGCCAGTCCAAGCAAATAGTTCAAGAGACCCCATCTCCAAAATAACCAGAGCACAATGGACTAGAGGTGTGGTTCACATGGTAGAGTGCCTACTTTGCAAGTACAAAGCCATCACTTCAAACCCAGTCCATTCGAAAAAAAAAAAACAAAAAGGTAGTACGCACCTGTAATCTCAGCTATTCAGGAGGTGGAGGCAAGGGATTGCAAGTTCAAGGCCAACACAGGAAAAGTTTCCAAGACCCTCTCTCAAAAACAAAATAAAAACAAAATGGTTGGGAGCATGGCTCAAGCAGTAGAGTACTTGTGTAGTAAGCGTGAAGCTGTGGGTTCAATGCCTAGTACCTCTCCCCAAAAGAATAAAAAATTCATTAGGGGGGCTTTGCCATAACAAGAGCCCTACAGTATAGATATCCGTATCCACTGTAGCAATGGGACTATATGCTGAGAAGGACAAGTAGAATAGGAACAAAGACAAAGGATGCAAAAAAAGATATTATTTCAAATAATTTAAAGTGCATGATCACATGGAATTATGAGTGATTTGTAATACCCCTTCAGAGTTCCATGGGATAAACTCCCTTTAGCTTCTGTGTGCAAGTCTCAGCACTCCCACTATTTATATTCCTTCCCAACTCAGCTTAATTGTTAAAACTGAACCTCATCAAGTACCTTCTCCGTTCCAACTACAAATGCTCCTGTCCTTTGTGCAAATGAGCTGGACACATGGGCCAAATCAAACTAAGGAAGATTCTTTCGTGTCTTTTGACAAAAGACATACTACAACTCAAAACAGAAACACTAAGGAGAAGCCACATGGCTATCAAAAAAAACATTAACTTCAACTCTAGAATACCTATTTATACTTACATATTAACTTTCACACTTACAGTACCATCTTAAGATGTCAAGTTTAAGATCTCAAATAAAAGTTAAGACATGGGCAATCCTCAAAGGTAATGTGTATAAAAAGTTAATCTGGAATTGACTAAACTGGCTAAAGGATTCTTTATGAGACCTGCCACATTCAATGGTAGTAATGAACAATAAACTGGACTCCCCTGCACCACCTTACTGTTACTACTACCACATTGTACCTCCACTAAACTATTTCACTCAGATAATGTCTAGTAGAAAGATTACTGGCATCATAAATTTTGCCTAATGAAAATATATGCTAGTTGACCAATCCCCAGTTCTTTTTTGGAAAACACCACATCATGAATTTACTGACTTAAGAGACTCAACATAGAATGCTTAGGCATTGCATTGTTTTAAGATTTGTTTTCTCTAAAACAATTAAAATATCTTTAGAAGGAAAGTGATGGAAAATAGCATTTATATATTCTGATTCCATTAAACGGACAGCCTATACATTTTCATGCTTAACCCAAATCGCTTCAGGAGTAATTATTATTACTGTCTTAAAGCCTCAAGCAGTTTACAAGGTTTTTGTCATTTATTTAGCAACAAGATTTTATTTTTCTTTCATTTTACCTTAGTGAATGTTCAAGTAATAGTGATACTGCTAATAATGCCAACTGATTCCAAAATGATATCTAAAACAACCTTAAAATTGCTTCTATTTTAATTTTATGTTAAATGTAAAGAGTTGTATACCTGATTTTAACAATAATTTAATTTTAATTACCATTAGGATTATGAAAATGTCATTCTATAAGACATATCTTAAGGTAGTGCAAAGAAATATCATCAACAGTGGAGAGACTGTTAAGTTATTCCAAAAATTAACTAAGCGTGCACTCAAAATCTTTTTTCTTTAAAATATCAAGAACATAAAATTCCATCTTTTCTTTTGAACATTCTCCATTTCTCTCAAAGAAACTACTTTAATATTATATAATAAACTATTGGTAAAAATATTCTTTGGATATTAAAACATTTACCTCAAGAAAATGTAAGAAAAATGAAAACTTCAGTCTAAGATAATGGACAAAATAATCATTCCTACTGTACTTAAGTAAAAGTCTATATAATTTCCAAGTACAAGTAGTCTATGTGATATGAAAAACTTTCTGGGAGACTCCATGTAGAAACAGTAATACAAATGAGAAACTATAAAGATTTTTTAAAAATCATTTATGGAACTTTAGGGTATACTTTATTTAAATAACACCAAATAACTATAAGCATCCTTAATCAAGCCAAGGATAAATACTTATGGGGCAACAACTATAACTGGAGCTAGAAATATCACATACTTGATCTTTTACATTTTTTCTTTGCTCTTACTGAGCTTCATGCAAGGTATTATTTTGGAAATAACAGTTACCCAGTTAAAACTAAAACATTTACTGAGAATTCAAATAAATATCTCAAATAAATATCCTCATTGAGTTTTAAGAACTCAAATAAATATCCCCATTGTTTCATGTCTCTGAGTGTAACCACTGTATAAATTTTCATAAATTATTTTTTCACGAAAATTTCACCTTTAAATAGCACTTATTTGTTAATTTCCAGTAGTTTTATTTCCTTAACCAGTAAATTGATTAAAAAAATCCTTGGGTTTTTTCCCTTGCATTACAAATAGTAGATATATTTAGATACTAATATAATTTAGAATTTTAATATATAAGCAATATGTAGTATTTCCATAACTGCATCATTATCTTAGTGGCTTTCACCTTTGAGGACTTTAATTGAAATAAAAAATATTTAGGTGATCTTGCTTATTAAAAAAATACAGTAGTATACATTTTAAAAATCAACCAAATTCTTAACGTATCACATCAACTCTACAAATGAAAATCTTAAGCACAAAACTATTTCTTTATATAGAAGTAGATAAGGATAAAAAACAGAAACATACATTAAACATAATGTATAAAATATCTTCTGATCAGCTACTGAATTATAGGAAGTTTTAAAAACACAGGACTGAAAACAGTACAATTTGGGAGGCTCTAGATGCTGACTTACGTAAGATTTCCCTTCAGACAAAGATGTCTGCAACTCTAAATTTATAATGTAAATGAAAATCTAAAACTAAAGTTCCTCAAGAAAAATCTACTTTTTATGTGAAGACTTCTGTACCCAATATTCTATTGCCAGGCCCCTGTAGATAATGCCTAAATGCAGTATGAATTTCAGTCATCATTATCCCCTCAGAAAGCTGTAATAAAAAGCTAGGAAGACAACATAAGCATACCCTCCAGTTTTAGGTGTAAGGACAAAGGACTGAGCCAAAGCCAAGACAGTAAGACAGTACTTTGTCCTTTTCTTTGTAATGACTGCTCACTGAACTGAAGGAAACCAAGGCAAATAAAGCACGTTTTTCTGTATAACCAACAGCATAAAAAGAATTTCATCAGGTTCATGAGAACTTTAAAACATTCTGAATTTATATAAATTAGTTAATAAGAGTTAGTAATAAAACTATAGATCTATTTTCAACCTGTGTGTTAGTGATTTTGGAAAAATCCCATCTAATCTTTATGAAAAGCCATATTATAAATAAACACAGACTGGATGACAAATTAGTAAATTAAGGCAAATGCAATTTAAAAAGTATTTCAATGAGTCTTTTTCAGCAAACATTCTAACCAAAGGGGAAAAGAAGAATTCTATGGATAATTTCCCAAGAATTCAAAAAAACCAATATTTCAAATGGAAAAGCAATGATCTTTTCCAAAAAATACACTTTGGAATAGTGGCTTCTTCACTGTACTCACAGTCTTAAAAATTCTTGGTGCCTAAAGGCAAATCTGTAATACTGTTGATGGGAAACTGTCAAATCATGTTGTTACCTTAACATATAAGAAGATTCATTTTTAAATACTGTATTAGCTTTTTCTTT